CGGTTGTACAATTGACAAAACAGGCCTCTTTTCCCCTCAACTCTTCCAGCTAAGCATTTAAAAAAAACATTTTAAATTTTGCAAGAGAATTTTGTAACTTCCAGGGAAAAGATATGCAAAACAGCATGAACGCAGACAACAAACACCGCAAGCTTTACCACAATGCATCAAGTGGCTGTACAGTGGGCATGTGTACGGCAGGCGTGTGTACAGACAGCGGGCATGTGTACAGCAGGCGTGTGTACAGACAGCGGGCATGTGTACAGCAGGCGTGTGTACAGACAGCGGGCATGTGTAGTACAGATAAGAACCACGTGTGTTGTATCACAACTACAGTATAATGTACTTTTTTGCCCAGCTAAGGAATTGCATGCATTTCCATGCCTTTGATTAACCAAGGCCTTCACTGGATGGGTTTATGGGATGTGTGTGAGTGACTACATTCTGAAACAAAGCATCTGGGCCCATGTGGCAGTGACTGCACTTGAGTGGCTTCTAGTTAATTTTTTTAAATAAAACAATGTTGGTAGCTGCTCAATTATGATATCATCGCCGTCGCTAACGAGCATCAGTTGTAAAAAAGCAACCAGTTTCCCAATCCCCCTCCAGCAGGGCACAACCAAGATTTAAAGAATGCAATTTAAAAAATAAAAAGTTAAGGTACACACACAAGATTAATTTATGTAATATATATATTCACCCTCAGAAAGCTCTGAAGATGTTATTTTCTAGTTTTGTAGCACAGAGAGAATGGCCATTTCCCTGAGGGCAAGAGTCTATTTTCAGAGGCTTTCTAGATAGTTGACTTTAGGTAGCAAAAATAGTGGCATAGAGTCCTGAAGATTTATAAACTAAACGCTTCATGTATTTACTGTTGGTCTCACACATCAATAAATAGCTCTCAAAATACCAGTTTTTGTTTAGGGAGGGGTAACCTATCAATAATATTCAGTGTATAATTGGGAGGATCCAGCGTGGGTGCATTTAAATAGATTTTTCCAACACAAGAGGGAAAATTACCAACTTATAAAGTTCGCTGGGAGGGGTTCCTCGTGGCAGATAATAAGAACTGCAGCAAAACCCAAAATCCAGTTTTGAGTTTAAAAGATTTATTATTCCAGTTGGACACATAGCCCAGGTACAGCTTTGGGGAGCAAGAAACATGAGGCTTTTGCCTCAGTTTCCAGTTTAAACTCTGCCAATGATCAGAAGTCCTGCCCATACACTGCAATCAACACCTGCTGTCGATATTAAAAGACACAAATATCTACTGTTATGGCAATTTGAAAAGGGGTAAATGATAGCAGCTCAAAGAGCATTTATTACACCTGCTTCATACAGGAATATGGTAGTTGGTCATCAGGAAGGCCTGCAACTCTGGTGGCTTTTTATGGAGTCGGAAAATTAACTTAAATAACAGCACAGGCGCCAGTTGCATTATGGCTAGAAAGTAGAAAGGAGCTAATTTTACATAAGATTTATGTTAAAGATTTTTCTTACGCCACATAATCACGTGCCCCAACTTTGGTGCCTGTTTTGGTTTATTCTGAAGCTACATTGTTGAGAGCAGCTTTGGTTGAAATTAAATGACTGCATTAGGTTTTGTATAAATGTCTACAGTCAATTGTGCACTGGCCATCATACCTGTATCCAAAATGATGTTTAAAAATGTTTCACACATGCAGGTCTCGGATATTATGGGCTATAGGCCACATAAATATGTGGTGTGGAGATTTAACTACAATAGGTGCATCTGTAAGCTTAGACATCTGACACTGCACTGAGGCCCCACAAATGTTTAAATGTGTACAATTTTGCTCCTTCATTACAAAAAAATATTAATCCTATTATAAATAGGAATAGATTTCATGTTACCACCTAATGCAATTATAAGCATCAAGCAGCAATCTGTCTCGTCACTCTGTGCAAATGTCCTCTCGAAGAAAAAGAAAATCCTCAACCCTCAGGGAAGTGCACAAAACCTGTTTTAAAAATCCTGACACTTAAGTTGTGGTATTTGTGTTATCACTTTAACAACTCACATGACCATTAACATGATCCTGGAGAAGTTGGTTACCAGCAGAACACCTCCTTTGCAGCCACCTGGTGAAAGTCGTGCTTGGTTTAAAATATCCCAGTACGATTTTCAGAACAATCAACTTCACAGAAGTTATCAAAAACATAAAAACACAAATGTAAAATCGAACAGTTAAGTACATGAGGACAGCAAAGATATAGACGAGACGAAAGGACACTGTCAATGCTGTGAACAGCAAATGGCAAATCTGCATAACAGAAAGGACTCGGTGCAACATTTCTTTAAAAAGGGGGTTAACAGAAAGTCCTGCAGACATGTATCATTTCACTTGCAAATGGTATGATCCAAAACATCATAAAATTAACAGGGTTGAGTGCACAGAATACAGGAATCGACAGAATTGTACATAACATAATAAAGGCTCTATCAGCTTACACAAGTTCGTTGCTTTTTAAAATTCCTACCAGTCCTATGCACTTTGCTACTCCCCTCACACCCACACCCACCCACGCACACCCACCCACACACACGCCCACCCAACACATGCCCACCCCCACACACACACAATGCACACCCACACATGTACGCCGACCCGCCCACACACGCCCACACACACGCCCGCCCACACACACGCCCGCCCGCCCACACACACGCCCGCCCACACACACACACACACACGCACGCCCGCCCGCCCACACACACGCCCACACACACTCGCCCACATCCACACCCACACTCACCCACTCACACCCACCCACAGCTGGCATGTTGTGTTCCCACAGAATCTCATTGACAAAGGTTAGTGTGTGTGAAGCTGAGCAGAATGCCTATCCTCTTCCCGATGCCCACTGTGTGGGATGGCAGGAACTCGAAAGTGAAAAAGGTTTATACAGTCAAAACAAACAGAATGCCCTCAACTCCACAAGTATCACATTTACAGATTTTTGTAAACATTTCTTCAATAGCTCTGCTGTTGCCGTTTATATGAATCTATCAGTGTCCCAGAATCTATTAAACAGAAGCGAGGTGGCAGAGATAGATGTCACTTAGGCAGTAAATAAAATGTATTGACATGATTACACTGCCAACAGCATCTTCCTCAAGTAAAAAAAGACGGCTGACACTGCTGGCATTTTTTAAAAAAAATTTGATCGAACTTAAAGTGGTTTGTTTTAAGTGGGGACTGGAGGGTGCGGTGCAACTTTGGATAGTTCATTTTCATGAAATTATTACAGTACTTTGTGCTCTTCCTGCAAGATACAATGTTCATTCATCGTAAAGTCAGCAGAGAAGCCAATAGATGTCCTTGGACTGGTTAGGGCAGAAAAGAGACCAGTAATATCGGCTCTTGGTTCAGTGCAAACAACACACAATACACAAGTTCCAAAACACAGCGTTCACCTACAGCTGATTCTGTACAGCAAAATGAAATGGAAAGAAAGCGCTACAGGACAAAGATGCATCTCAGAACAACGAAAGTATTTTAAGTAGCACTGATCCGCACCTAAACTGTGCTGAACTGGATGAAACAAATGACAGACACATTGAGCTCACTGCAATGAAATTCAGCAGCAACAAACAAGAAGAAACAAGTTCATTATTGCCATAATGTAAACACTTCAGTAATTTTTTTGTCGACAAACTCATGTAAACCTATAAGATTAATCAAACAAAATGAAACTATATTGCAATTCAACTTTCTTGGAGGGAAGTGGGGTTGGATTTTGGAGTCTGTTATTTAATCTCTTGTCCAGTTACAATCACTACCTGTTTAAATCAAGCAAATAGAAATTGTGCACTTGCTGTGTGCACTCCCACCAGGTCTGGGATACAATGTCTTACATTTTTGTTCAACACTAAGATGGAAAAGTCACACTTGTTCTGAGTCCTGAACTTCAAAACATATGGAGAGATATTTCATTTGGCTCCTAGATTTATTCTAGCTTTTAATTGGTTTTCTGTAGTTCTGAAAAGAACTTATAAAAAAAAAATTGGCTTCAAAATTAAGGCTGTAATTCAAGAATCTGCCCAACTCTGGACACTCTAAACTGTTATGTAAATACAAGAACATCTAGGATCAAGGTGGAATTCCTCTCCAATGAACAGAAGTAATGCCCTTCACTAACTAACACTTCAACCTGTGTATTAGATCCATTCCAACACACAGAGGAATACCATCAGAACTCTGTTCTGTGATGAGTTTGGGGAAGAAAAATAAAAAAGTTGTCTTGTCTCCAGATTAGTGATCAGCAATTGCTCACCCCTTCCCATTCTTTTCAACTTGTGTTAAACATTCCCCTAGACAATAACACCACAAAAAAAAGACTGAAGTAATTAAGATAAACCTAGTCTACATCTGAGCGCGTGTCTGTGGACTCCGGTGCAAACTGTATTTTGAAACTCTTATTATGCATTTCAAGAAAAGGCGAAAAGTTCGTTCCCTTCACCACTTAAACAAAACAAATTTACAAGTTTCCTATAAAAGTGCAACAATGCCATGAAACTAGTTCTTACAACAACAGCTCGAAAAGAGTGTTCCAAGCCATTATCTTTTTACAAATTTGTGTTGAATTGTACACAAAAATATACAAAAAGAAAAATAGAGGAGGTAAAGTCGTAGTTAGCTTTCACCAGATGTGTTGCTGCAAAAGGCCCTGCTGGTCAATAACCAAGTCATCTAACGTTCTACATCAGCCATTGTCAATAAAAATGGCCAAGTTACTGCACCGGCTCACAACAGACTCATAAAAAGGCTGCTTTAAAGCATTAAGTAGAATGACGTTCAAATTCCAAAGTTCACTGGAACTTGAACAAGTTTTCTGACTAATGTTAATTCTGTTTGTCAAAATGGTTAATGCAAGAGGGCTTTTCTAGTATCAAAAAGTCCACAGGAATTTGATGCCCCCAAATAGTTCTTTAAAAAAAATAATATAATATAATGTAATATATACACATATATAATACACACACACATATATATTATGTTATATTATATTAGAAAGCAAAATGAATTGCTTTTAGATGTCGGTGCAAGCATCAAGCCCTTCAGCTCCCATTAACTAGAGCCTCGCCGTTTGTTGCAGGTTTCATATCGTTCCCGTCCTCTGATAGCCTGTGAGCAGAGGTTTTCAGAAGCAGGTTATTAATGCTAATGGATGCAGACATAGCTGGGGAGGTGCTGATGCCAACTGACGCTGTGATGGGCTGATTGAAGCAGGACGTTCTAGGTAGGATCACCTTCTGTTCCTCTCTGACAGATAAGGAAATACAAGACAAAAATTAGTTAGGACATTCACAAGACAGAAAAACGAGGCCTTGGATCCATTTTGATTATGGACCAATTATAGCAATCAGGAGTCCTGTAGCTCTCGCCTCGCAAACGAGAGGGCCTGGGTTCAATTCCCGGGCAGGGCGAAACCTTAAGCAAGTTTCCTTACTCCACAAGTCTGTTTACCAAGCAGTAAATAGGAACTCGGTCGTTAGTCAATTGATGAATCGCTTTTTCGGGGGTAATAATCCATTCAAATTTTTTTAATCTTTTATAAAAATAATTTTGACACTCATTCCATTACTGTTTGTGGGACGCTGCTGTGTGCAATTGGCTGCTGCGTTTCACCCACAAAATACAGTTAATTCACTTTATAGTATATTCTGTGAAGCACTTTGAGACATCTCGAAGCTGTGATAAGATGCTAAATCATATGAAATTATTAATTAGTATACATAATTGTATTTTTGAAAAAAAGACAATATTGTGTAAAGCAAATGGTTATAATAAATAATCCTTGTATTTGATATAGCGCCTTATCACGCCTCAACTCCAGGACCACTGCTGTCCTGACAGACTGTCTGTCGGACATCAAGTCCTGGATGAGGGCAAATTTCCTACAGTTGAATGTGAACAAGTCTGAGGCCCTCCTGATTGGCTCGCGCCAGCGCCTCCGCACCTCAGGCTCTGGCAGCATCACCCTCCATGGTTGCACACTACAGCTCACCAGCCAGTCAGGAACCTGGGGGTCTTGTTCGACCCTCAACTGTCTTTTCTCCCCCACATTCAAGCCATGACCCTCACCTCCAAAGCATCGCCCAACTCCGCCACTACATCACTGCTCAGGCGCTGAAACTCTTGTTCATGCCTTCATCACCTCCAGGCTCGACTATGCAAACTCCCTGTTTGTCGGCCTTCCCAACTCCTCCCTCCACAGCTGCAGATAATCCAGAACTCTGCAGCTCGTGTCCTCTCCCGCACCAAACTCCGTGACCCCATCTCCCCCACTCTCGCCCGACTCCACTGGCTCCCTATCCTTCAGGTCCAGTTCAAGATCCTGGTTCTCACCTATAAAGCCCTCCATGGCCTCGCCCCACCCTACCTCTGCCACCTCCTAACCCCCTACCAACCCGCCCGTTCCCTCCGCTCAGCCGACTCTGGCTGCTCCACGTCCCCCGACCCACCCGCCCCACCATTGGCGGGAGAGCCTTCAGCCACTCTGCCCCCAACCTCTGGAATTCCATCCCCCAATCACTCTGCCTCGCCCCCTCCTTAGCCTCAAAACCCTCCTCTTCGACCAGGCCATCGGCCACCCCCCCTTCCCCTCCCCTTCCTTCTCTCCCCCTGACCCCAGCTCGGGTCTGAAATGCTGTCACTGTCCAGTGCCTTGGGACGTCCTCCCGACGTGAAAAGTGCTATACACGTTACCCTGTTGTCGTTGTTCCAGACGTCTCAAAGCGCCTCACAGAATATACTGTAAAGTGAATTGACTATATTTGTGGGTGAAACACAGCAGCCAATCACACAGAGCAGTGTTATCAATGGTATAGAATTGGGAATAGGGGTGGGCAGGAAGGCGGTGGGTGTGGAAGGGCAAAGGTGCAATACACAATGTTTCTTGGTGATGTTGGATTAAATCTACAGCAAGCGAAATGACCAAATGGAAGAAATCCTCTGATCAAATCACATTTCTAAACCCAAGTGCCAAAAGCACATTTGTTGAAGGCAAAGTTAAGTGATTCTCATAGTTTTAGTCTCTTACGTGATTGCGATCTGCTCTGCGATCCTGCGGCCCTGCTCCTCCTGCTCCTCACCTCGGTGTTTGTGGTGATGTTCGTTCTCAGACATCATGTGACTGGTTGGATCACCTTGGGAGCTGATACCCAACTGTCGATCTAGGACATCCTGTATGAACACACACACAGCGTTATTGCCGTCCTGCACCCCATTTGATGGCACTACCTAGCCCAGTCCAGGCCCAAGTGTAAATTTTAATAGCAAAAACATAAAATTAATAACATTTGTTGTACCTTTTTCATTTAGCTTTGAAGACACAGTCCCATATGTCAAAAAGATCTCTCCTTAAACCAATTTTGTAGGAAGTGACCTATTTCTGTCAACTCACTGCTTTGATGAGACATAAACAAACGGTGCAATGGTACCACAGAGTGATAGAACATCACAGTCACTCAGTCGAGAACATGCCCTTGGGAAGGTGCTGAGAATAAGCAAAATCTGTGTCTTAAAGTGAAGTTACAATGGGAGAGGGGAGTGGGGTAGAATGTCATTCCAGGATGCTGTTGTACATCTTGTGAAGCGCTTTGAGAAGTCCTCGCAACATAAAAGGTGCTATATATCAAATAATAATTATTGTACATCTGCCTAGACAATGTAGTCAGTGACAAGGTGATCTTGCCAGAGGATGGGAGTATATGGTAAAAGGGCCTGAAATTAGTGGATGACAAAATCATGCAAAAGTTACCTAAGTTCAATAGAATTTTAGTGCAAAAAACCAAGGTTCTGATAGAAAGCTTCAACAAACCTCTACCCACCAATTTGTGGCAACTGCTGGAACTCCAAACCATCACTGTGAAGCGTTCTGATATATTATCCTAGATGAAGGGCTCTATATAAATATAGCGTTGTTGTTCTGTTGTAGTAAAGCAAAATACATTCTGTACGAGCCACCTAGTAAACTACAACTCTATGGACAAGTGAAAGCACAGACAACAGTACACAGTAAATAACAAAACTCGTACTTCTATTTCCTCATCTTGATTAAGATCAGGTTCATCAGTATCTAGAGCAGAAAGCTCCAGTTCGATATCCCGATCCGGCCTGGTGTCGCCTGAATCTTCCGAAAATTCACCCTGGAACAAGAGAATTCATGGCTGGGAATAAATTAAAATGCATTGAAAAGACCACATTTGTGCCTCCGTGTCATCAATAGAAGGATCCACAGCCCATAATGGAACAGAGCAGCACTGCATAAAGCAGTGTGTGCTTGTGATCTATAGCTCGATACTCTGGAAACAGCTTCACAATAAGAGATTCCATATAGACTTCAAACCTAATATGACGTGTGCAAGAAACTTCATTTAGCAACAAACATGGGTATTGGTCAAACACAAGTATGATGCACCAATAAAACTACTTTTCTATCAGAAGTTAAGTCTTTAAAAAAAACAGCACTTTTATATTTCCGAACTCTGCTGAAGTACACCATATAAACGGCAAGATCCCACTACATTCTCACCTGCTGCAGCTCAATACTTAGCTGATCTCCACCATTAGGATGTTTCCTGTGGGCTGATAGATCTGCCGCTCCCAGTCGGTCCCTGAAACCAAATATCAATTGAGAAATTAGATGCTGATTATTAACACCAGGTCCCCACAAGTAAAAATTATTCTAATGGATATAGGAATCTGAGTTATCATTTTGCATTATAAGAACAAAGAGGTTTGACACAGAAATAAGTATATAATCTCACACCTCTTAGTCAGAAGGAGTGGGTTCAATTTACAGCATATCTTGTGAAGTGCTTTGAGATGACCGGTCAACGTGGACATATATTCTATACCAAATGTAAGGATTATTTTTATAACTATAATAAACTGTGTCAAGCAGAATATATTCTTCACCTCTCCCCACTCCTAAACAAACACAGACATATGCACAGCACGCCATTGCTGGCATTATATATAAAATGAATGATTTAATCACGACTGTTTGTGGGATGCTGCTGTGCACAATTGGCTGCCACGTTTCATCCACAAAATATACAGTCAATTCACTTCACCATATACTCTGTGAAGTGCTTTGCGACATCTCAAAGATGTGATAAGGCACTATTTCAAATGCAAGGATTTATCTGAAATGCTGTCTTGGACGTCCTCCCGAAGTGAAAGGTGCTATACAAATGTAATAATAATAATACTAATCCTTGCATTTGATATAGCGCTTTTCACGTCGGGAGGACGTCCCAAAGCGCTTCACAGAACACACAGTAAAGTGAATTGACTGTATATTTGTGGGCGAACGCGGCAGCCAATTGCGCACAGCAATGTCCCACAATCTACAGTCGTAGATTGAAAATGACCAATTTATTATTGTTTTTGGTTTTGGAGGGATTATTATTAGGCTCTGTGTGGAGTAAGGAAACTTGCCCGAGGTTTCGCCCTCTGCCTGGAATTGAACTCAGGTCTCTCACTTGCAAAGCGAGTGCTCTAACCACTGAGCTACAGGACTCCACGATGTAATCTTGTTATTGTATTATTATTATTAATTTATTTATTTATGATGAATTCACCCACCTTACTGTCTTAAAGGAAACAGACGATCAAACAACAAAACCTTGAAGTTGCAAAACAAATTTGAAACCCAAATATTTTACAATTAAATCTTTAAAAATTGCATATTCAGAATCAGTGAAAACACTCCATAGCCTCTTCTGATGAGCTATTACTGTCAAACATTGTACTTTTAAAAGAGAGATTTCCCCCAAAAAATAAATAAAAAGTACAACCGATGAAGATTTTACTATCACAATCTCAACACCTAAATTATCCAGTGGATACATTCACATAAGTCATCATTCTAAACTAAAAGAACATCTGATCAGCTTTCTGTTATTACCTGTCAAGGTATTGAGCAGGTGGAGTAGAATCTGATCCATATGAAAGGGCAGAGGAACTCCAACTACTGGAATCTGTATGGCTCACATAGGAACTATAGTCTGCAAAAAAAAAGCAGATTTAACAACAGATTTAACTTGTGAAAAAAATAATACAATGGAGCCCGACTAAATCCCCACGGTGGGATTCTGACACGGGTCAGTTTTGACTAAATCATTTTCTTCTAATAAGCCAAATTATGCATTAAAATCAAGGGGGCTAGAGAAATGAGGTCCAGTTTTCTTTTACTCTTAACATTTAACATATCAAAACTTCAAAGAATTCTGCTCAAGTGAGGAAACTTTTTTTTTAAATTGGCAAACAAATGGCTGTGGGTGGGTGATTGCTGGTTAAGTGGTGAACGAACAATTTTGTGGAGTATTGGCCAGGACGCATACTTGGACTTACAACTTTTTAAACTCAGAGGTAATTGCGCCATCTCTATCTATTTATTCAGGTGGATGATAAAGATTCCATGGCACTATTTGAAAAGAGAAAGGAGTTTCTCCCGGTGTCCTGACCAACATTCCCCCAGATAAAATTGGTCACTCACTTCATGTTTTTTTGTAGGATATTACTGGGATCAAATTGGCCATTGTGTTCACCCACAAAACACAATCACCTCAATTTACAGTAAAATCCTGTGAAGCATTTTGGGTTGGGCTCCACATACGATCGATGCTATATCAAATGTAAGGATTATTACTATTATTGAGCTAACTGATACACAATATACAGCAGGCATTTGCACAAATCTATAATGCCAACATTTCTCCCCCATTTTAAACCAAAGAAACCGAAAATAAACTAACCAGTTACACTGATAGGCTTGGTGGCACTTCCTTGGGAAGCTGTGGCCTGGATCGGATCAGTGTTGTGATAGCCTGTGCGTGCAGACCGAGAAATCGCACCCCACTTCGAGATGATCGGTCCATCACCAAATGGAATTATGGGATCTTCATCTTTGCCTCTTCTCTGAGGGTCAAATAGATTTAGCCGTCTTTTCACATCAAGGTCCTGAAAGCAATTGAGAATATGTGAAAAATGAAACTCTTGGAAATAAACCTTTAAACCAAATAATAATAATAACATTAAAAACAAGAGAGTCTCAGAGAGGCAGCATTGCTTTTGCTTTCCCACCCTGTCAGTCATGAGCAGTGCAGATAGAAAGGAACAAATATCGAGATACTTTTTTATACATAAACAAAATCAATCCATAACTAAATTAGCCACCAGCATTGTTGAGCAAAAGGGAATCTGACGCCTGGCTGCTCAATCACATAACCATGGGATTAGTTTAGAGCACACAAATATACTGAAAGCTTCTTCAAAAATACAATTTGTAAAGTAGCATACACTCATATTCATTGGCTTTCTTTTCTGGTGGGAAACTTGTTCAATGAGGATCGATAAGCTACTGAACCATGAGAAATGTTATGACTAAACCCTGTCTAGTTCTCATCCATTATCCATGCTGTACAGTATGTGGAGTCCCAGAAATGCATCACTAGACACTGGCCAGAGACACTGGCCTATTTCCCTATACCTTAGAATCCAGAGGACAACTGCAGTGCAATTCTCCCACCCCCCAGTGCTAGCTGAGGCTCAGTATAGACCACACCCCCCAGACCAACAATCAAACCTGGGCCTTTCCTGGCCTATAAATTCACCACATTCATCCAAGTACGCTGGTACAGCTTGCAACTTAACAGAACATCAAATAAAATGTAAAACTGAAAAATCTTTATCAAACAAAACCTACTGATGAGGTTACGAAAACCTTATGCTTGAAATCTTTCACCATCAATCAGGCGAGTACCACTCATTTTACAAAAGTAGTTAAAGTTCACAAACATTTCAAAGAATACAGTTTTGTTCACATAAATTGTACTAAACAACTACACAGAAATATATAGAAAAACCCATATAAGGTGATAATCCTTGCATTTGACATTGTGCCTTCTCATGTTAAAACATGTTAAAATGCTTCAGAAAATACATTTACTGTAAAGTGTAGTGACTATTTTGTAGGTGAACAATTTGTGAGCTTGTAAAAGATAGGTGATGGATGCTTTTATATTTCATTGGTGGAATATAAATTCAAAACTCACAAAAATTTACATTTGCAGAAAAATATGCCGGTTTTCATAGATTCATAGAATGTTACGGCACAGAAGGAGGCCATTCGGCCCATTGAGTCTGTGCGGCTCTTTGACAGAGCGTCACTTTCACTAACCCTAATCACCAGCTTTCTCCCCATAACCCTGCAAACCGGTCTTCCCCCAATACCTATCCAGTTCTCTCTTAAGAGCTGTTATCGAATCGGACTTCACTGCCCTTTCGGCAGATCATTCCAATTTCCAACAACTCGCTGAGTGAAAACATTTCTTCTAACCTCCCCTTACACCACTAATAGAAACAGCATTTCATACCAACCCATTTCTTAATGTACATGGTGTTGAGGATAATCCATCAGGGATCTATAGAATTTTAAATTCAAGAGTCTGATAACCTTTACATACTTCAATGACTTGAACAGAACAAACCACCTCAACCTCGGACAATAATCAGAATGGAGTTCAGAGGCCAAAATATGGTATTTTTAGAGGTTTTGACTGTTCACTCAGCTCTCAAAAACAGTGCCAAACCTGTTCATAGAATCATACAGTACAGAAGGAGGCCATTCGGCCCATCGTGTCTGTGCGGCTCTTTGAAAAGAGCTTCCAAATCAACCCCACTCCCCCGCTCTCTCCCCATAGCCCTGATCAACCCCACTCCCCCGCTCTCTCCCCATAGCCCTGATCAACCCCACTCCCCCCCTCTCGCCCCATAGCCCTGATCAACCCCACTCCCCACTCTCTCCATCAGCCTTTCAGGCAATGCATTCCAGATCCCAACAACTCGCGGTGTGAAAACATTTCTCCTCCCCTCCCCTCTGTTTCTTTTAACAACTATTTTAAATCGGTGTCCTCAGGTTACCGACCCACCCGCCAGTGGGAATAGTTTCTCCTGTTCACCCTATCGAATCCCCTCATCATTTTGAAAACTTCTATGAAGTCTCCTCTTAACCTTCTCTGCTCCAAGGAGGATACCCCTCGCTTCTCTACCTCTCCTGATAACTGAAGGCCCTCATTCCTGGTACCATTCTGGTCAATCTCCTTTGCACTCTCTCCAATGCCTTGACATCTTTTGTAAAGTGTGGTTCCCAGAACTGAACACAGTCTGTAGCTGAGGCCTAACCAGTGTTTTATATAAAGGTTCATCATAACTTCCTGACTTTCGTATTCTATGCCCTTATTTATAAACCTAGTATCTACATTTTGGATGTCATTGTGTAGACGACCCCAATTTTTCACAAAGCAAGTTACTGATAAAGTTTGCCTTAAAGAAGCCGTATAGCGTTTTGGGAGAAAACAAAACAAAGGTTGCTTTGGCCACTCTTCACATCTTCACCCACCCACCCAGTCAGTCAGTCAGCAGTGGTGCAAATCTGGAAACAGATTACTGGTCAGATTTCTCAAATTGGAAAGGTTCTGAAAGCTAATTTAGCACAAATGATTTCAGAATACATTGTCGTACTAGTGCTGCGCTGTAAATTCTGCCAGAACGATTTTGGTTATCGGGGAACACTTTCAGAGGGTAGTCTCTAGTTCAAAACCTTTTCTGAGTGACAATTTAAACCAAAAATTAAACTAAGAAATGGAACTGAGCTTTCACACTTAGCATTTTCAGAACTTGGTAAAATGCAAATATTTTCTAGCTGCACAGATTAGAATCTTATACATAGTGGTCATTATATTTTATAAGTGGCCAATGCGGGTTTTAACAAAAGATGAAGCATCTTTTGCTAATGGATAATTATGTTAACAGAGAAGGAATCATTTTTAGACATTATACAGAGTACATTTTAATTATTGTATTTAGAACCCTGCAGGGCCTTTCACATTTCTTAGGGCGAGAAGAAGTTAGTATAAATGTCAACAGATGCTAGTTTGTCAGATTCCTCACCCCATCCCCCTCTGCATTGCTGCTTTCAAGTGAAACCCATTCAGCAACCTCCACAGCTGTTGTGCACCAAGCTTATCCCAGTTTCATTTTCCCAAAATAACTTCTGTCTAAAGAACTAGTGCAAGCAATTTCTCAATGGGTCATGGAATGAACAATGTAATCTTTACCTTTTTAGGGTATTCAGAACTCTTATCATACTCCTTGGAACATCAAATCATCTATTTGCTACAAATGCATAATTCCAATATTCTCATCAAAGATTTTTTATTTCATTAAGGCAAGACTTGCAAAGAAATGAGAAGTCTTGACTTTGTTCCATTGGTTTTATTAAGGGTCAAATTACTTAAATTACCGGAGAGCCTCAACATTTTTTTTCAAATACAAACAAATACTACATAATAAGGTGGCTAAACTGTTGAATTCCACAAGACAAAACTGTCAATATCTGAACAGAAGTAAAAAAATAACTACTATAAAATTTGATGTATTTTCAGGCAGGCTGCTGATGCACTTCAAAATAGGCCAAGACTAATGCAACACCATGTCTAATGCTCAAAGCAGGTGTTAAAAAGCAATATTTAAAAATATAACATGTTTTGGCAAGTTTCAGAGTCCAGTTTGAAACATGAAAATGTTAACTAGTAGGAATGCATCACAAACAAGGCAGACACTTTGCAAAGTAGGAGGCTTTTTCCATGTGCTTTTGAATCCCATTAAAACCTACTATTGAACAGAACAACTTAATTCCAGATTACATAAATCAAGACTACAATGTTTTTTTCAAAACAGAGCGTTTATAGGCAAAGAGCACATAAAAGTATTATATTATTCATTTGACCTGTTTTGAATAATGGCATGTGCTAATGAAAGCCATCCCATACATATTATATTTATTGGAATTAAGATGCAGCATAACCAAAATACATAACATCTAACATTTGTAAGCAGTTTAAACACAGAATGCAAAATATTGCAAGTTCATAATATAAAATAAAGCAATTGCTTAAATAGTTCTATTTGGTTAATATTCTCCTGTATACTATATTAACTACCTTGTAATATAAGATTTAGTTTTATTTAAGTCAAATATTACCAAGTCAGTAAGAAAAGAGAATGGAGCTGAAGGAAAAAATGCTTAGATAAACATTTTCTTGCCCTAGTTCTAAAATTAAACTTATGGTTGGAGATTATGTGAAGACATTGGGAAGCAGGGACCTGAACTTTGCCTTTCGTTTATTAAGAATAAAAATTTAAATGGAAAATATAACAAATGTTCAAATAAGAGTACTAAATGAGAATGCTAAACCTGTTCATTTATATCCAGAGGAAATGTACATTAAACTTCACAAGACTATTCTTTACCCGGCTTGCCAAGTTATGTTATTTTACAGAATCCTTTCAGTTTGTGATTTCATAACCCACACAATCCAGTGCACAATTATGAAATGTCATCTCTTTTGAAGGACCTCAATATTTCTTACCATTATCTCCACATTGGTCGTTGCCATGACGTCTTTTGGATCAGGCTCCATTGCACTAATGCAAGAGCTGATAGTCCCACAGGACCATGGAGAATACTGGGACATGTGCTGATCCTCAAATTTAGTGCCTACACACAAATCGCTGGGATTCTCAGAGAACTGTTAAAAAGGTGAACAAATGGATATTACTACTACAATAGTTGATCAGAATTTCTTTAAAAAANTGTAATTTCATTGCAACTTCATTCACTACAGACACATTGTCATTTCTAGGGTCCACTTCAAATTCTGTAATAGTTGAATCAATGACATATGATGTCTTTCCTGTATCAGTTATTGCAGTGGAAATATCAAGCATCTTTCACTAGTGATAAAAATAAAAGATTAGGGATACATGAATAAGCTACAAAGGCATCATCTCCCATTTGTTTTGTAAGTGATTTCTGTCAGATGATGCTTTTGTTGGCCATCCTCTGTATAGGATGCAAATGGGGTGGGTAGTGGGGGGGAGGGGGGGAAGAGAAGGGAAGGACATCATGCCACAATTCCATAAGTTCAACACAAAATAAATCTTCAAGGCTCAAACAGAAACAAAAATGCCATTAAGAAACATGATATTGTAAAATAGCACTATACAATGATTACTGTACATCCCTTCAATATCATAGCTCATAAACAGATGCATAACTGTGTAAGTAAGACTACCATGTACATCATATAAAACATTTTCTGGAGTGGGGTTGGGGGGGAATTAGAACTTGCATCGAGGAGGGACCTCGGGAAGGTCATGCGAGTCAATTGTATTTCAAGGCACCAGCCAGTATGCTCATTAATGAGCTGAAGGTGTAGAAATGTCCTCAACTCTGAAACCAAACTTGCCAAATGCTAAGTGGACCCCACTGGAGATACAAATGACCTTCTGAGCATACACTTTGCAACTGGACAGCCAAGGTGATGGACCTCAAGGTTTTTGTCCTCGTGTGAAGAGATGCTTCAGCAGTGCTCGAGTCAGTGAGCTTGTTACAGATCTGTAGCCACCCCAGTCCACAGATGGGCTTTATGGGAATTCACTGCAAGTAGGAAGCTGTGCTTCAACTGGTCCTGTCCTTCAAACCATTAAACTGCACAGTTACCATTTTCATGGTGTTAATTCCTCTGTGGCCATGAGTAGAGTGTGGATGAATTCTTCCAAAACTATACAAAAATGTAGAAGATCAAGCTTTTCAACAATCGCATCTCTTTGCTCTCGGTTTCACCAGCGCTCACTCAGTCAAGTGGGCGGACAGACACCTCCTAGCAATCTGCCAATATTGCTGAATAACTGGCCATCCAGATTGACAATGATAATACTAATGATAATAATAACAAGCCATTAGATCTTTCCACAAAACACTTCATTGGACACATTGCAGAGTTAGGAAGCTTACTACACTTAAAAGCATGGTATAAAGGGGTTTATTGGCCACCGTAATTGTCTAATTAACTCTTTTTTTTTAGATGCAGTGTGAACCTCAACTTCTTTCTCTTAGTCTACAAGATATACAAATGTCAAAGAATCAATATGTGATGACTGGAAGAAAGTTATATAGTATATTTCTTAAAATACTTTCTACTCTTTTTCCTATTTAAAAAAGTGGATATTCAAAATACTTGATCCCACATTCTGTACTTCTACTGAAGTCAGATGTACAACAAAGATTTGAATATATAGATCTGATAATCAATTCACGCTATGAGAAATGTTGGCTCACCATTTCACTACACTGCTGATGCCATATTTTCCACTTCTCTTTCAAAGATAACCAAAACTTATTACTGTAAATAAACACATAAAGTTAGGCTGCACCATTCCTTCCATTGAACAATCTTACAGCCTGTTAAGAAAGGGACACTTAATTTTTTCGTGTGTTGCTTGTTTGCAGTAAAGCCATCTGACTACCTCACTTTAATCTGTTCCCCCCACAGCTCCCTATAACACAGTGAGTTAGGATCAAGAGACAAGTGAGTAACATCTGACTTCTCCCCCCCCATGAATATGGCCAAATGCTCAAATGAAAACCAGTTGTACAGTTCAATATTCACAATGAAACAGAATGACAATAGAGTAAACCTCTGGCTTACCAGACTCTGGGAATCCAGAATTCATACCCCACTCCTGTTCCTGCTCCCACCCCACCCCACCAGCCTTTCTGGCCTTCAGGAATATCGACTTTTCATTAGTTTGAATCCTGTGGCAGAAGATTGCTTATCGCCTATTTTGCTCACAAGATTTAAACAATTGCAAAGCCAGTAGCGACATTTGCCGGCAGTTTTCGGCACCGATGCCAGGACTGGTCTTGTAATTACACTGGAAATGTCCGGCTGGCAGAACCCATCTCCCGCCCACCCATCAGACCGGCTAGCCGGGGTTTTAGTGGATAAAAACAGCAACGTTTTGTGCACTTTCTTAAAAAGAATTGTTTTTTCCCCTTCCATTTCTCCATGCCTCTCCAGCTACCCTTGGGTATGATAACATTCGACTTCAAAGAATTTGTAAAAAAAGAACGACATGTGTATATAAAACATGCTCACTGAATTAAACTGAATTAAACCTTTTAAAACACATTTCAGAATTTAAATAACCTTCCAAAAAAAGCTAAATATTCGTTGAAACAGTTTAAAAACATTTGTCCAAGTGAACAAGGTTAAGTTAAACTCTGGCAGCCAAAACAGGAAGAACCAGTTGGGTCAGACATCTGTAAATTGATCATGTCAGTATACATCAAATTGAATCTCTTTTTCTCCTCACCTGGCCCCCAACTCCAGCCCCACCCATTGGGTTTCATTTATACTGAAACTGATTGAAGGACATAAATTATCTTTAATATAATGCATAACCAGGTCATAAAACCTCATGGGGAACTTGCAACAACTTTAGCCTCCAGTTCAAGTTTTCCATATGAATTAACTGATTGTTTTCATTTTTAAACTTAATAATAGATGAAATATTATTTTCCCACAACTGAACTTGAACAATCAGTACTAAATGGCACCTTGGCCTGTAGTTACAGTGCACCAGCAATACAAGCCACATTAAACCTCTAGACAAAAGCCACAAGATTTGGAAACTGAGTCAGTTACATTTCCGGTTCTTATTTACATACAGAAACTCCCCACCCAACTCGGACTACAAATCTGTCAGCAAATATTGCAAGAAGAAAATGTGTTTGGTCAGCAATGTTATACTAAAACTTTTGAATGATCTAAATTGTTTAAATTGGGGTTCTATGCATGTTTGTAAATCAATGCTTTCATGTCTTAAACTATAATCAACATTTTCCAGAAGTCCTGTGGTTGCAAAGAACTGTTATCAATGCACAGCTTATAAAAACAACCCTGCCTAAACTACAAAGGTTGCGTCACAGATGCACTGTTTTTATTTATGCCCTACCTCGTTCTAATGATATTTGCTGTAGATAGTCTGTGTACTGTGTTTGTGTTCAAATAGGCCGCTTTGCTTTAAGTACAATTATGGTCCAGGGAACGAAAATATAATTTCAAGTGGTACTGCCTTGAAGACACAAAGTCTGGGTGAGAGTTGCAACAAAAATGGCAGGAAACATGATTGAGAAATACAGTGACAAGGGGAGGAGTTAAAATGGTATAAAAGGAGGGAGCTCATTAGACTCTGGGTTGCTCTTTGCCTTTAATGCCACCAAGGAGGGATGTGCCTGCCCTGAGAGTCTCGTCTCCAGGTTGGTTTTTCTTTGATCCAAATTGTTCTGGAAAAGGGAGTCGAAAAACCAATTGATTCTGTCTAAACGAGTCCAGAGATACTTGGTAACAATGGCTCATGAGAGACTGACCGGGGGTGGAGTCTACACAATGGGATAAAGTGGAACTCGGGAAATTCTTAAGAGAATACTGGTGGCCTGAGATCAAGAGGGAGACTAGACAATATGTGGAATGGGCATGTGGTGCATTCAAGTAAACCCTAACAACATACCGAAAAATAAGAATTTGAAGCATGTGAAAATGGGTTGTCTGTGGGAGAGGGTTTACTTAAGAGTTTGTTGGAGCCCCTACCCAAAATGCTGGAGATAATCAACACATACTTGTTTTCGTAGATCACACCACTGGGTTTACAATAGCACACCCCTGTAAAAGGTGTCCATTCAGCGGGCTCCGGCCTGCTTCACATTCCCCACCTTAGCCTTCAGCCTCTCTGTCCCCACCCTCTGGAACTCCATCCCACAGTCCTTGCCCCTTCCCTTGCCTCCTGCAAGACCCTCCTCTTCGACCTTGCCTTTGGTCACCCTCCTATCCCTACCCTCCATCCCTCCTGATCCCAACTACCAGCTCGGGTGCGGATCCCTGATTATCCAGCCCCTTGGGACGTCGTCCTGATGTGAAAGGCGCTGTACATATGTCATTTGTTGTTGTTGCACAGACTGTGTTAAAAATCATTACAGAGGAGCTCATTCCTAGGAATGGAGCAATGAAAATATTGCAATCTGACCGGGGCAGACATTTTACAGCTGATATAATTAAAGCAGTGACCCAGAATCTGGGAATAAAACATGTTACGTGTCATCCGGAAAGCTCGGGAAAAGGTGAGCGGATCAATGGCATTATCAAAAATGCGCTGAAAAAAAAGCTTGTTTAAAGGAAAGAAATGGGACAAAAGAATTCCATGTGTTCTAATGGGGGTGAACAACAGAGCGACAGACCGTGTCTTACACCTATTCCATGGAGGATTTTGTGGCTTGGAGGAGCCATCATGTGGAGTCCTGTAGCTCAGTGGTTAGAGCACTTGCCTCGCAAGTGAGAGACCTGGGTTAAATTCCCGGCAGGCCAAAATGTTGGGCAAGTTTCCTTATCCACATGTCTCTGTTTCCCAGCAGTAAGTGGGAACCCGGTTGTTATCAATTGGCTGATCACTTTCCTGGGGGTAATAATTCCTTCAAAAAAAAATAGTAAATTGGTCACTTCAATCCACAACTGTTTGTGGGACGCTACTATGCACAATTGGCTGCCTCATTTCGCCCATAAAATATACAGTAAACTCAATTTACTGTATATTCTGTGAAGCACCTAGAAGATGTGATAAGGCGCTGTATCAAATGCAAGGATTATTATTATAATATGACTGGGAATTTGCGGGAAAGGTTTCATAAACCAGTAGTAAACGTTTTGAATCCAAAGACAACTCGCATGCTCACTCCGAGAAGAAAGGCCATTACTGTGTCAACCAGTCAGGTCTAAAAGATAAAGTCATCTACAGAAAAACAAATGCTGGGGCGAGCAAGGCGTTTCACTAACCCAGCTCCCAGTGTGGTGAGAATGAGAGAGAGAGAGAGAGGAGCTGGGAGACAAGTGCCGTGAAAACACTTGAGATTGTTTTTTTCTTTGTCCACTAACTTTAAATAAAGCTGCTAGTGTCAGAGTTATGGTATCAGGGTTTTTCTATCTGTTAACGTTGAGACTGTTTATTGTATTATCGGGCAGTGTAAGTGAGTGAGACATAGGGTTGTAAGGACCAATAAAAGTGCATCTTGAATCTCTGTTAAATTCAAGGGGGAGGAAGATACACAAACAGGTTATTGCTGACCTACTATCCCCCCTCCCTACCTGCCCGTACCCTCCGTTCCTCTGGCTCCGGTCTGCTCCACATCCCCCGCCCCAACCGCCCTACCATCGGTGGCCTTCAGCCTCTCAGCTCCGAGGCTCTGAAACTCTATCCTCCAGTGCCTTCGCCTTCCCTCCTCCCTTTCCTCCTTCAAGGCCGGTCTCAAGACCTTTCTCTTTGACCGAGCCTTCAGCTCCGCTCTCAACTCTCTACCCCCTCCTCGCTCCCTCCCTTCCCTCCCCTCACCCTGACCATTTCCCCCCTCCTCGGGTCCTGACCAAACTGTACAGCGCCTTGGGACGTCCTCCCAACGTGAAAGGCGCTCAATAAATGGAATCTTGTTGTTGTTGGCAGCTGTCTGTCTGGTAGATTGAAGGACGCTGATTGAAGCATCCCATTGTTACGCTATAAAGCATTGGGATTGCTTGACGTTGTGTTAATTCTCACACAGTAAAGTTTCATATAGAGAGAGAGGGTTGCACGTCACAGAGAAGAATCTACACAGAGGCCACCTGGTACACCAAACACTTTACATAACGTGGGTTTACATTAAGGGGCGAGAACCATCGCAAAATACTCTAAAAATACACCCTGAAACATACGAAAATGACTATCAATTAAAGTTCTTGACAAAAAATAAAAAACTTAGTGAATGTATTTTCTTTTGCCATCATGAGATGTAACGTATTTCCTCCCTTTTTTCTTTGACTCTTAGCACAACAGGGACTACTGAAAGGTAAAAAAAAAAACACTCCTCGCCTCAATACAGATATTATTACTACAGATACATCGTCCACACAACAAGAATATCTATTACCAGTGACAGAATGTTCAACCCTGAGGTAGGTTACAGAATACCTAATTTTAGCAACAAGTAGGTTTTTAAACTTAGAGATCCATTATTTATAGAATCTCCACTTTGCCAATCTGATTTGAGTTTTCTCTCTCCCTCCCCCAAACTTCACTTCTTCACAATGTATTTTAACATCATACAGCAATGAAACGAGAAATCCCAATCAGATCAGACTGACAGCTCCTATGTTAAATAAACACAGCAGCTGATGCCAGGATAAAATCCCTAAAAGTCTAATGTGCTAAGGTCACAAGTGAGTGCTTCTGGGTAGAAACGTATGCAAGTATGGTTTCCGACTAGTTCATTATCATATATAAAAAAACAAAAGATTGGTGGCAGAACATCAATTTTTGGTGAATATGCAATGCAATTCAAGTGTTTAAAGATGCACTATTTACACACAGATCAATCTAAACAGGCTTTTTGCAAATATTAGCTCAAGATGACAGGGAGAAGCTACAATTTCTAAGTATTGAGGTACTATTACAGAGATTATATGAAAGAGTTACAGATTAAAGTGCCTTTTCCCCAAAAAGTTACCAAAATAATTATTAAATCTGATGATGTAATTTTGAAGACACTGATCTTAACTCAAGGGTATTAAATGAACAAGCTAAAGTGCACCATTGCTATTTTCACTTTGGGACCAGTTGTAAAGGTGAGAGAAAATCTTATATAACTTATGATTCCTATTCAGATCAACTTCCCCATAAATGTAGTTTATGGTCTATCATCCTCATGCCTTCTCTAATGCTCTTTATGGACAGTAAACTGAATTTATGAGTATTACTTTTTAATTCTTTGCTAAGTAATATTTAATTGCAATCCCAATAAGTTGGACTGAGTGTGATCTCCCCATCTCTTACAGAAAGAAGGTTGTGGCCTTTGACAGGATCAAATAGCAGTGTTTCATTTTAGAGAAGGGCAAAGACAGAGATTCACTTTGCTAACATTTCAATAGCTAGTATCAAGAAGTTTTACTCAAAATACTGTAAGGGTGAACATTACCATTGATCACAGAGTACTACATTTAGTGATAGTAAAAAAAATAAAAGTAGTTAGTGCAATGGACCAGTGAATGTTTTCAATTACCAATTTACTTTTTCTTTATTGTGCTGGCACAATGCAAGCTTTTCATAAACCCAAGTGCACATATAACATATGTGGTCAGTGTGGTCATTTTCTTAGTTTCTGGTTCTATGGACTCCTGTAGCTCAGTGATTAGAGCACTCGCCTCGCATGCGAAAGAGCTGGGTTCGATTCCCGGCAGGGTGAAACCATGGGCCAGTTTGCTTACTCCACACATATACGCTTGATAATAATCCCTCAAGAAAAAAAATAAATTGGTCACTTCAATCCACACTGGTTTGTGGGACGCTGCTGTGCATAATTGGCTTCCACGTTTCGCCCACAAATAGACAGTCAATTCACTTTACAGTCTATTCTGTGAAGCGCTTTGAGACGTCGAGAAGGTGTGAAAGTGCTATATCAAATGAGAGGATTATTATAGATCTGGTGTTAGAAGCAAATATATGTGAACTCATTATTCTTAGGTTTTAAAAGGGTGAGTTTTTTTTAAAAGAAGAAACCAATAAAAGCACGAAAACACACACACACACACACAGGTAATGGAGCTCACAATACCTCTGAGCTAAAGTCGACACTAAACAGCGGTGATGGAGGAGCAGAGGGTTGGGCTACTGTGGACAGTGTGGACGAGACTGGAGGTGGTTTTGGAGTTGGATAGTGTACCCATTGATCGACCTTCCGTCTTAATGGGTCATCAAAGCCCGAGGGCTGTGACCGGCTGTACAGGTCCTGCAACAGAGGAAGAAACCAAACTCTAACATGTGAACTGGTGTTGAGCACAGCTGTCCGACTCCTCACACTCACACACTCACACTCACACTCACACAACCTCACACACTCACACAACCTCACACACTCACAGCCTCACACACTCACAGCCTCACACACTCACAGCCTCACACTCACATAGCCTCACACACTCACACAACCTCACACACTCACAGCCTCACACACTCACAGCCTCACACACTCACAGCCTCACACTCACATAACCTCACACACTCACACAACCTCACACACTCACAGCCTACACAACCTCACACACTCACACACTCACAGCCTACACAACCTCACACACTCACAATCACACAACCTCACACACTCACAGCCTCACACACTCACAGCCTCACACTCACATAACCTCACACACTCACACAACCTCACACACTCATTCACACAACCTCACACACTCACAGCCTCACACTCACACAACCTCACACACTCAGCCTCACACAACCTCACACACTCACAGCCTCACACTCACACAACCTCACACACTCACAACCTCACACACTCACAGCCTCACACTACCTCACTCACACAACCTCACACACTCACACAACCTCACACACTCACACAACCTCACACACTCACAGCCTCACACTCACACAATCTCACACACTCACAGCCTCACACGACCTCACACACTCACAGCCTCACACTCACACAACCTCACACACTCACACAACCTCACACACTCACACAACCTCACACTCACACAACCTCACACACTCACACAACCTCACACTCACACAACCTCACACTCACACACTCACAACCTCACACAACCTCACACTCACAACCTCACACAACTTCACACTCACACAACCTCACACTCACACAACCTCACTCACACACTCACAGCCTCACACCTCACACTCACAGCCTACACAACCTCACACACTCACACAACCTCACACACTCACAGCCTCACACTCACATAACCTCACACACTCACACAACCTCACACACTCACAGCCTACACAACCTCACACACTCACACACTCACAGCCTACACAACCTCACACACTCACAATCACACAACCTCACACACTCACAATCACACAACCTCACACACTCACAGCCTCACACACTCACAGCCTCACACTCACATAACCTCACACACTCACACAACCTCACACACTCATTCACACAACCTCACACACTCACAGCCTCACACTCACACAACCTCACACACTCAGCCTCACACAACCTCACACACTCACAGCCTCACACTCACACAACCTCACACACTCACAGCCTCACACTACCTCACTCACACAACCTCACACACTCACACAACCTCACACACTCACAGCCTCACACTCACACAACCTCACACACTCACAGCCTCACACTCACACAATCTCACACACTCACAGCCTCACACGACCTCACACACTCACAGCCTCACACTCACACAACCTCACACACTCACACAACCTCACACACTCACACAACCTCACACACTCACACAACCTCACACACTCACACAACCTCACACACTCACACAACCTCACACAACCTCACACACTCACAACCTCACACACTCACAACCTCACACAACCTCACACTCACACAACCTCACACTCACACAACCTCACACTCACACAACCTCACACTCACACACTCACAGCCTCACACTCACACCTCACACTCACACACTCACAGCCTCACACTCACACCTCACACAACCTGCCCCACACTCACAACCTCACACTCACACAACCTGTCCCACGTGCACAGCCTCACACTCACACAATCTGCCCCACGTGCACAGCCTCACACACTCACACAACCTGCCCCGCGCGCACAGCCTCGCACACTCACAACCTGCCCCACGCGCACAGCCTCGCACACTCACAACCTGCCCCACGTGCACAGCCTCGCACACTCACAACCTGCCCCACGTGCACAGCCTCGCACACTCACAACCTGCCCCACGTGCACAGCCTCGCACACTCACAACCTGCCCCACGTGCACAGCCTCGCACACTCACAACCTGCCCCACGTGCACAGCCTCGCACACTCACAACCTGCCCCACGTGCACAGCCTCGCACACTCACAACCTGCCCTGCTCGCACAGCCTAACAGGCTCACGGCCCGGCCCACACACTCCTGGCCTCACACACAATGAATTACACCCAACTGCAAATTACAGCCTTCAGCAGAAGAGGTTAAAGAAAGATTTGGCAAATCTGAACAAAAGCAATGTAAGATTTAAGAATAACAATCAGTCCTGTAACTCAGTGGTTATAGCCCTCGCCTCACAAACGAGAGACCTGGGTTTGATTCCCGGCAGTGCAAAAGCTTGAGCAAATTTCCTTACTCCACACACAGGCCTGATAATAATCCCAAGAAAAAAAACTGGTCACTCAAACCACGGCTGTTTGTGGGACGCTGTTGTGTGCAATTGGCTGCTGCATTTCGCCAACAAGTGTACAGTCAATTCACTTTACACTATATTCTGTGAAGCGCATTTGGATTTCTAGAAGACGTGAAAAGCTCTATATCAAATGCAAGGATTACTATTAATTGATATAGCGCCTTATCATGTCATCAAGACGTCTCAAACCACTTCACAGGAAATTTAGAAGCAAATGTATTAAGACAAAAAGCCTGTGGATATTTCAAATTCATAATGTTAATGCACATTTAAAGTCACTGCAGCAATGCAAATAATGCGATATTGATCAGTTTGCAAAATGGAAGTGTGATCCAGTGAAAAGTAATATCCCTGCCCTACCCTCTGCATGGTGACACTCCTTGGTTCATTTAATGGTGGTCCAGGTATCGAATAATACCCATCAAGTGAGCTGTATCGTTCCCGTGGAGGAGGCTGATAGGCAGGCGAAGGCACCACATCCATCGGAGGTAAAGAATTGCTCCGCATAACATCATCCCGTTGATACATTTGTGGTCTCCACATGCGCCTGCTGTCATAGACTGGTGCATACATCCCAGAGTGGATAGCGGGGACGGAGCCATATTGTTGAGCAGGTCCTGATGGATAAGGAGAAGCTGCCAACCGTTCCCGAGGTGGATATGCAGTGCAGTGTTCAGGGTAGGGCACAGTGGGTGCAAGTGAGGATTCGGGGATGTTATTCGGACGTGCGTAGCGAGGAAGGCAAGCAGTCACTCCAGATGGTAAACCAGGATGTGGGGGATAATATCCTCCTGCACACAATCCATGCAACACAAAAAAAATTGTTAAAATGAAATAAAGTACAGTATTTGTCATTTTAAACCTTTGATTATCTCTACAGAAAGGGTGCGTACAAACACCAATATAAAAAACAGGTTCATTCCATAATAGGTATCATCATAACAGTTTGGCAAACCAGAATATGTTAATTAGGCTAAAAGGTTATCACTAGGTGCCAGATACAAATTGTGCTCATCATGCAACTGTTTTAGGAAGAATTATTTTTATTTCTTCCTTTAAACGAACCTTTAAAGGTAGCTCATAACAATAATCTTTGCATTTGATATAGCGCCTTAACATGTCTTCAAGACGTCTCAAGCGCTTCACAGAATACTTTGCCTGGATTTAAACTCGTTGATTTGTGCTGCAGTTTTAACATTGGATCTTTGACAAGTGAATAGCAGTATCAGATATAAGCGCTTGTTAAATCCCACCGTCTCTCTTGCTTTTTGGTGAATACCAGACCCATTTTTCTCAGGAACGAACGAATCAATGTCTCTCGCTTTCTTTTATCCTAAGACTCTCTGACTTTCCTCAGCACATTGTGAGCTCGGAGTTTCAGTCAACAATGTCCTGACAGACTCATGTCTACATTGTAGACTCAAGCCAATGTACTGCAGAAATGTTAGAAATTGTGAATAAATGCACAGTCATCAAAACTGCCCACCTGTGGCAGGTATTTCTCCAGATTGAACAACTTGACAAAGGAGGGCACTTAAAGATGTCATAGAATCATAGAATTATACAGCACAGAAGGAGGCCATTCAGCTATCGTGTCTGTGCTGCTCTTTGAAAAGAGCTTCCAAATCAACCCACTCCCCCGCTCTCTCCCCATAGGATTGTGGAGTCCTGTAGCTCAGTGGTTAGAGCACTCGCTTTGCAAGTGAGAGACCTGAGTTCAATTCCAGGCAGAGGGCGAAACCTCGGGCAAGTTTCCTTACTCCACACAGAGCCTAATGATAATCCCTCCAAAACCAAAAACAATAATAAATTGGTCATTTTCAATCTACGACTCTTTGTGGAACATTGCTGTGCGCAATTGGCTGCCGCGTTCGCCCACAAATACACAGTCAATTCACTTTACAGTGTCTTCTGTGAAGCGCTTTGGGACGTCCTCCCGACGTGAAAAGCACTATATCAAATGCAAGGATTATTATTATTGTTATAGTCCTGATCAACCCCACTCCCCCGCTCTCTCCCCATAGCCCTGCAAACTTGTCCTCCCCAATTAATTATCTACTTCTCTCTTAAAAGTTGTTATCAAATCGGCTTCCAACACCCTTTTAGGCAATGCATTCCAGATCCCAACAACTCACTGTGTTTATATATAAAAAAAATTCTCCTCCCCTCCCCTCTGTTTCTTTTAACAACTATTTTACATCGGTGTCCTCAGGTTACCGACCCACCCGCCAGTGGGAATAGTTTCTCCTGTTCACCCTATCGAATCCCCTCATCATTTTGAAAACTTCTATTAAGTTTCCTCTTAACCTTCTCTGCTCCAAGGAGGATACCCCTCGCTTCTCTACCTCTCCCGATAACTGAAGGCCCTCATTCCTGGTACCATTCTGGTCAATCTCCTTTGCACTCTCTCCAATGCCTTGACATCTTTCCTAAAGTGTAGGGCCCAGAACTGAACACAGTCTGTAGCTGAGGCCTAACCAGTGTTTTATATAAAGGTTCATCAGAACTTCCTGACTTTTGTATTCTTTGCTCCTATTTATAAAGTCTTGTATCCCATATGCTTTTTTAACAGCTTTATCTGCCTGTCCGGCCACCTTCAAAGATTTACTATATGACCCCCAGGTCTCTCTGTCCCTTCACCCCCTTTAAGATTGTACCATCAGCGTATATTGCCTCTCCTCATCCTTCCTTCCAAAATGCATCACTCCGCATTTCTCCACATTAAACTTCATCTGCCCCGTGTCTGCCCGTGTTACCAGTCTGTCTATGTCCATTTACAGTCTGTTACTATCCTCCTCACTGTTCACTACTTTTCCAGCTTAGTATCATCTGCAAACTTGGAAATTGTACTCCCTATACCCAAGTCCAAGTCATTTATTTAGATCAAAAACAGCAGTAGTCGCAATACCGACCCCAGGGGGACACCACTGCACACTTCCCTCCAGTCAGAAAAATAACCATTCATCACTATTCTCTGCTTGCTGTCTCCCAGCCAGTTCTGTATCCAACAACAACAACTTAGATTTATATAGCGCCCTCCACGCCGGACGGCGTCTCAGAACACCTCATCCGCTGCCACTGTCCCTTTAATACTGTGGGCCTCTATTTTGCTTACAAGTTGCTCACCATGATGAATGGTTGGCAGCCACTGCTCTCAGAAAAGCAGTCGCTGAAAAGGAGCAACATGGAACAGAGATGACACCAAATGATAGTCCTCAGCTAAACACCTGGTTCAGTCACGTAAATCCCTCTAAGCAAACATTGGAGACTTGCTCCAAGCCTGACTGTGAACATGTTCTGGTATCACCATGGAATTGCTTGAGCCATCCAGAATTAATTAGTAGCAATCATGTATGAACCCAATGGATTTTAATTGCATTAGTTGGCAGGCCTGGATAAATCCTTGTTAATGTTCAGTGCCAGGGGGATAGCCAACTGTTTTACATTAGCCAAAAAGACTCAGTAAAAAAAACGGTCTCAAAGAAAAAACATCTCACACTTATTGGAGCAATGTACTTCATTGGATGTGGACCATGACAGGAAGGCAAGGTAAGAATAATCTTATGTAGAATCTTGAAAGTAGTTCTCCATAACTAATACGTTAGAGCCAAGCTATTACGAAACAAGATTCTTGATACAAAGGGCTGTGAAAATGTGGAATGTAATGCTGCAGAAACAAATCAATCAGGATGCTTAAAGGGAGAGAGAGAGAGAGATACCTGTAAAGTGAGGGTATTAAGGAATATGAAGAGAAGATAGGGAAATGGGATTATATGGTGTGCTTTGATTGAAGAGGCACAATGGCCAATTTCCGTTCCTAATTGTGGTTTTGGCTACAAGAAGATGTTCCTTTGTAATCTTATTCCACTTGTTTTGTTTTATACAAGTGTGTAAATACACCCAATAAAAACAAACTCTTTCTTATTTAATCTACCATAGATCAAATTTTCTACAATTTATCTTTAAAACCGATTTGCATAAATTTTGTCAAATCTTCAGAAAATTATGAATTGATTAAATGTAGAATAATCTCCTACTTTAGCGAACTTACCTGGTTGGTGATAAGGAGGCAGTTCATATGAAACTGGTGCCCTTGGGTCTGGATAATACACATCAGGTTGTTGGGATGGATACACAGATACTCTCGGCACAAACTGGCCAGGCTTTGATGGGGGTAGTGAAGCATCTGGTCCAATACGTGAAGACATTATAGCCGAGGTAGAGGACATCTGATTGAGAGCCGTCTTGGGAGGAGACCCAATTCTACTGGAAATGAAATCATTCTATTTTTTAAAAATCACCTTTTAGAAATGGACTTCACCCTGTACATACAGTTCCTGTCCCACTATACCTACCTTACATTTACCCAGGTTAACATTTATCTTTTTAATGACCCAGGAATCTCTTGAATGACGTTTATCATCCCATTATAAAACCACACTTTTGTAAAAATGTCAAAGTCAAGTGCAGACAAGCCACAATCAGCACACATGTCCCCACCCCCACCGCCTGCTCCAGTGTGGCAATTTATTTGTGAAGTGGAGAGAAGGAAAGAATGACAGTGTGGAAGCGTAAGCTTTAAAAAAGCTGCCCAACAACCCGTCTGCAGGACCACACAATATGCAAAACCACGTGATGCTATTAGTGTTGATTTTGATCAACAGCCTTAAATACAACAACAAGAAGATTACATTTGTATAGCACCTTTCAGGTCGGGAGGACGGCCCAAGGCGCTGAATACCTAACCTAAATACCTAACCTGTTGAAACGTTCAAGACAACCAAACTAACTTCAGAATTGAACCAATGCCTTTCTCCTCTGGAGAGTTGTATAACATAAATATTATTGGGAACTGCAGTCTTTCTTTGCCAATTTTTCTCCTCCTGTCAGAACTCCAACTCCTTTTATTTCTCCTGGGAAAGCACTCCATGGGCACCTTTGAACACCTCACCTAAGTCAACAGTGTTCATACACTATTCATGATGGAAGGTATTTGGCATCAGTTGGCCATATCTCATCCTCAGCTCATGTCCAACCAAATGAAACTTCCAATAAATGGTTTTGGCTGGTAATCAGTGTGAGATGCCCGATCTGGAGGGAGGGAGGGAAGAGAAAAATAAACTGCACCTTTAAAGAAAGAATAAGGTCTTACTTTTCTGGTGGTGAACCAGATAGTGATCCAGGTGTACTCAAATTGCTTTGTCCAATTTTTTTAGCAATCTCCAAAGAGGACGAGGTATCTGCACAGCGTGGTATTAGTTGTGGGGTACTACTTTCTGGACTTATGATCCCGTTTGATATCTGCACCATTTTCACAGTGGCTTCTGTGATTCCTGTTACAGACACTATACTGCCTGCAGAAGTGGTGGCTAGATTAGTGATTCCAGGTTTGTTCAGCAGAGGAAAGGGCCTGATGGTAGCATTGATCTTCTTATTCCGCATCCGATACCTATTAACAAGCATAACAGATAGGTATGTTTGCAACACAGAACAACAACTCAAAGATCTTTCATAATCAAATTATCAATTAATGTTAAACAGAATGGTTATTACTTAGAAGCTGAATGTACTTTATGATTCCCAAAGAAACAGAAATCTGCAGAGCTGAGGCCATTTGGCTCATCAAGTCTGTATTGGCTCACTACTCTTCCACATGCCTCTCTATGTCCCTCTTGAAAGCTACAATAGACTCCATCTCCACCATCCTACTCCGTGTTCCACATCCCAACTGTTCTCCAGGTGAAAACATTTCTCCAAAGTTCCTTTGTGACTATCTTATAACTATGTCTAACCTTCCTATTTACCCTCTAATCATTGTGAACACCTTCATCAGGTCCCACCTCAACTTTCTGTAAATGGAATTAGGTTAGAAGATCAGCCATGATCTTATTAAATGGGGGGGGGGGGGGCAGGCTCGAGGGGCCGAATGGCCTACTCCTGCTCCTATGTTTTATGTTCTTTCTTTGCTGTAATGAACACAGAGGCAGTCAATAACATCCTTTATGAAGCAAGGTACCCCAAAACTGGACACAGTTTTGGGGTTTTGGGGTACCAGAACCATAGAGATTTATGGTAAAGAAGCCCCTTCAGCCCATCGGGTCTTGAGACAGTTTGAACACAGCAGAGAGAAGGAATCGGAGGAAGGAGTTCCAAAGAGGAGGGGGTAGAATGATTGAAACCTCACCAATGGTGGGATGAATAGGACAGGGAACATAGAGGCCATGATTCACTGGAGGCGATGGCAGAGGTAGGGTGGGATGAAGCCATGGAGGGATTTGAAGGCGAGAATGAGGATTTGAAGTTGATCCATTGATGGGGGATGGAGACCAGTGGAGACAAGCAAGAATGGGGGCGATGCGCTGGCAGACAACAACAACAACAACAACAAGATTCCATTTATAAAGCGCCTTTCACGTCAGGAGGACGTCCCAAGGCGCTGCACAGTTGGGTCATGACCCGAGCAGGGGGGAAATGGTCAGGGTGAGGGGAGGGAAGGGAGGGAGCGAGCGAGGAGGGGGGAAATGGTCAGGGTGAGGGGAGGGAAGGGAGGGAGCGAGGAGCGGGGAAATGGTCAGGGTGAGGGAAGGGAGGGAGCAAGGAAGGGGGAAATGGTCAGGGTGAGGGGAGGGAAGGGAGGGAGCGAGGACGGGGAAGAGAGTCGAGAGGGGGGAGCTGAAGGCACGGTCAAAGAGAAGTGTGGAGGAGGACACAAGCTGCAGAGTTTTGGTTAGTCTGCAGTTTGTGTAGGGGGTAGTTGAGGAGTCCATCGAGGTGAGCCTTGGCATGGTCAGCCTGGAGGTGACGAAAGTGTCAATGTTACAAAGCTGAGAGAAAGCCTGGATGTGGGGTTTGAGAGATAGACGATCCACAAGGGGTGAGACGTTTCAGAGAAGCACAATTCACAGTGATTTTTTGCTAAACAAAATGGAATTTATTTACACAATTTTTTGAACTCTGACTTACTTTTCCAGCTCCTCCTGGGAATGAGCAAATGTACAATTAGCTCCCCGTGGGCAGCCTCCCTGTTGTCGCAGGTCTCGGCACATGCTGGTTTTGTATTTGCTGTTTGGCTGTGGCTGAAAAGTGGATATCAAATGAGTTATTTGATAATAATAAATTGGTCATTTTCAATCCACGACTGTTTGTGGGACACTGCTGTGCTTCCGCGTTTCACCCACAAATATACGGTCAATTCACTTTACAGTATATTCTGTGAAGCGCTTTGAGACGTCTAGAAGACGTGAAAAGTGCTATATCAAATGTAAGGATTATTATTATTATTTAGCTACACTCACTCGAGCCTTTGTTGCAGTTGCAACCATGACAGCACATTTGACTCGAGCCTCGACACAATTCCAGTTATAACAAGTCTAATAAAGTCCTACCCGTTTATGTCGACACGTGGGGCACAGTTCAAATTTTGTTGACAGAAGGGAATGTCAACATTGACAAACTAACAATATATGCACACATCCACTGTGGTTAAAATTTGCTGAAGCATTTATCTACATTGTTTCATATGCTACGATTACAATTTCTGTACCATTTATTTACCTGTATTTTCCTTCATTTATTGAATTATTATTTGAGAACAGTTTCATAACTGATACTTGCTCTTTTCAGATCAGGGTTTACAGTTTATCCAAAAAATAGCTGCTTCGTCCATTTCTTTCAGTAACTCTGATTGAGCAATAAATAATAATAATAATCCTTGCATTTGATATAGCGCGTCTTCTTGACGTCTCAAAGTGCTTCACAGAATAGACTATAAAGTGAATTGACTGTATATTTGCGGCGGCCAATTGCGCACAGCAGCGTCCCACAAACAGTCGTGGATTGAAAATGATTTATTATTTTTTTCCCGAGGGATTATTATTGGACTGGTTGAGTAAGGAAACTTGCAATCCTTCACACAAGCTAAATGCTTCTGTGCATGTCACATGATAACTATGTTGGTCGACCTCCACCATTGTCATTAGGTTCCTCAGTTTTTTGCTGGCCATCATCGTGACTTTTTTTTTACTGAGGTGATGAAATCCTTATCGGCCAGTCCAATTTCCAGGGCTCGCTGATCAACGCGCGTGTGCTGCTTCGTATCCGGCCTTTATTTGTTCAGCATATTGCAGACAACCATAAAGGATGTTGCGCTTCACAGAGAAGGTTTTGCAGACTTCGTTCCCGGCCATTCCACTCTCAATTGCTTTGATTGTACAATATTTATCTTCCAACATTTAAGTCAAGTTTATGTTTCATTCCAGTTACGGTACAAGCCTCTGGGAGGCTACCCCGCGTGAAGGGCGCTATACAAATATAAGCTGTTGTTGTTGGTATCCATTGTAGTAGAATGGTGTGCTATGATCGGCATTCCCAACACGGTTACCACGTGTCACACTCACTCACGTGTTACACCCATTCATGTGCAATCACTCACAGTCATGAGCCACACTCAATCAATAAATAATAATATTTGATATAACGTGTTTGAGACGTCTCAAAGCGCTTCACAGAATATACTGTAATGTGAATTAACTGTATACTTTGTGGGCGAAATGCGGCAGCCAATTACACACAGCAGTCATGGATTGATGACCAAATTATTTTTATTTATTTTGAAAGAATTATTACCCTCGGAAAGCGATCCACCAATCGACTAACAACCGGATTCCTACTTACTGCTAGGTAAAACAGAGACGTGTGGAATAAGGAAACTTGCTCAATGTTTTGCCCTACCAGGGCTCTCACCACTGAGCTACAGGAATCCACAAATTAAATAGTGCCGTTCCCATCAGAAGAATGTCCCAAGGCCCTGGACAGTTAAGGGGTTGGAACATAGGAACATGAGTTGCCTATTCAACCTCTTGAGTCTGTTCTGCCATTCTATTAGATCTTGGCTGATCTATACCTCAACGCCAATCACCCACCTTTGCCCCATATCCATTGATGCCCTTACCTAACAAAAATTGCACCCAAGCTGAGAGGGTTGGAATCAAGAGGTGTGGCAGAGTGGGCCGAAGGCATAGTTATACAGGAACAACAAATTAACAACAAATTACATTTGTATTGCGCCTGTTAGGGACTTGAAAAATGTGTTGCTATAAGTGTCCTGAAGTTTTCGCTCACAAAATATACAGTCAATCCACTTTACAATATAATCTGTGAAACGGTTTGAAACAGCTCAACATCATAAGGTACTAAATCAAATGCAAGGATTGTTATGATGTCAATGTTGACAAACATGGTAATTTTCTGTGTTCCGATGTGGAGAAGGAACTTGGAGTTCACTTTTTTGTCGACATAAGTGGGATGTGGATATAAATTAATTTGAGATAAGTGGGTAAGACTGTATTAAGTAATGGAGAATAATGTAGAAAGTAATACAAGGTACAAATTATAATAATTTTATGACAGCATTAATTAAGGCACTGTAGTATTAACCTAAAGCACCATTTTCAATACAGGGATACACTTGTAGCTATACTTTGAAGAGCAGTGCTAAATTTGACTATCTTTTGCCCTTGTAAAAAGATAAGTTAATTTTCTTGACCAACTCACAAACTAAATCAATACACTATCTTGAATTAAAACGCAGACTGAAACAACGCTACAAGTAAAAGAATGAAGGTATCTCACCTGTGGTGTTTCATGACCCTTCTTGCTAAAGTTCTGGATAAAATCCACAAGGCCATGGACCACTGTCTTCACAGCAACCATCGCATTCTCCAGCTGCTCCCATGTTGGAGGTGCAGCATCTTAAACAGACATATATACAAAAGAGTAAAAATCTGGAACGATAAGCACTCCAGTTTTCCACAATTTTTTTTAAAAAACAAAATGGGTATATGGGCCTATGAGGATCAGAGCAGTGGAAATCTTAAATCCTTTCCAGGTAGTTGCACTTTCAGCACAATTGCTAAATAAGGATCAGGGTTTCCAGATAGAGTGCCACTCATTGAAGATCTAACCATTTAAGGTCTCAAAACAATATCGGTTAAAAAGCAAACGTTCATGAAAAACATGAATTGCAGTTCAATGAACGTTAGAAAAACTGTCTCACCTTCAAGATAATCTCAAGATCTAACAGACACTCTTGCATCTTCTAAGAGGTTGCAGCAGTCACTGAATGAACAAACAGAGCTCAGCTTGAAGCTCTTGATTCCACAAATTTGTCAAATCAAGTTTGCCAAATCACAAGAACTACACGAAAAAATACCTTTCTAACTCTGTGAATGCCCTTAAAGTAGAATATTTGTTGAATTCCAAGAGTATGTGAAGTTCTGAAGATCTACAAGTATAGTGCTATACAAATGTAATCTCGTTGTTGTTCTCAAAAAAATGGGAGGACTGCCAACATTCATCATGCAGAAACTTCACTTCAATTCAAAGAACTCCTTGGCTGTCCTTTGAACAGCCAAGCCACCTGTGAAAAGTCTCCAGCTCTTTCTGGACAGCCTAGGTTGCATTTGACTAATACACAAAGTGATTGGCTTGAGGTTTAGAAGCACATCACGTACCTGGGTTGGGATCAATATTTGCCAAAAGTTCAAGATGTGGTCTGAGTCGGTTCAAATTAGCTGGATCCGCGGTCCTCTGCAGGACAATTGTCAATTCCTGAACGCTTTTGGCAAACGATTCGGGCGACTGGAGCTGGATGCACAAACACAGATGAGAAATGCAGGAACTGGAGGTTTAAAATAAAGAAGTCAAGCTGGCAAACATAAGTACTCAGTGTTTCACAAATGATTCACAGGGACCAATATGACTGTAGCTTGCAACATTTTAATATTAGCTTTGAAAATATGCTTTATGTTTATGTCTGTGCCAGAGAAGCAACACAATCTGCCTTTTATCTGCTCCAGGTTTATTATGATGAAAAGCAAATCCCTCAGGAAAAAAGCAATATTCAGCACTGCTTTTTAAAAAAGTACCTTATCAATTATGGACTGCATATGTGACTTGTGTGCCAAGTCTCCATACAGAAGGGAAGACCATTGTTCAGGTGAAATTCGAAGTCCTGCCTCCATGGCAATGTGAACAATCTGTGCATCGTGCTCTCTACGCAAAGCTTCATAGGTACGAAACTCCTCTTTTAGTTGCATCAGAGAAGAGTCTTCATCCCTTTTTGTTACCTATGTAGAGACACCAGACAAAGGTACAAATCAGTCATGCATTTCTATACAGGTCTCCGTGCCCAGCAGACACTGGATTCTACTAGAAGCCTGGAATGAGATCAAGTTGGAATCAGTGTCTGGTGATGAATGTTGGCAGGATTAAATATTGGTGAATCGGGTTGTAATTCAGAACTCCTGCATTTCAGACCGCAGTATTTCCATTCTATTTATGATTTCTACACTGGATTGAAAGCTAATTTAAAGTGATAAAATGAAAGCATATATTTTTAGCGTTGTACTTAAAAAANCTGGAAGCCAAATTGTTTTATTTTTGTATGTTAAAGGCAGTAAAACCACAAGGACAGCTGAACTGCCATCATCAGCTGCTGGGTAAGTCAGAGACAGGAAAGCAATGTAAAAGCAGATATTGAAAATAATTCTTCTCACATACTCAATTTGTGGTTTTCTTACTTCTAATTCTTGTCTTCCCTTTCTTGAAAGGCTAACATGAAGAATTTACTGTAAAATCAGTCTGGTAATGAACCAATTGGTCAAGTGTGGTCAACAGTACAGATATTAAGATTGGTTCTAGAATATTTAATTAGCACTTTTAGAGGAGAGTAGACCATTGGCACATAGAACTGTCCAAGAAACTCAATTGACATGGAGAGTCCAGCAGCATGAGGAAGGAACTGAGTGAGGTGGAACAGAGTGAGAATTCTGTTAAGGAATTTGGCGAGAGTGGGAATTCGGTGCACAGGGGGAAAGAGGTGCATAATTATAATATGTTATTAAAATAATATAAAACATGTCTGGGAATATGGCATGGCAGCTGAGACCGGTTGCATGCACAATGTGTGCCATGTGGGAACTCCAGGAGGCTTTGTGTGCCCTGGACAGACACATGTGTAGGAAGTCCCTCCGGCTGCTCGAGCAGGAGCTCAGAGTTTCTGAGCTCGAGGAGAGGCTGGTGTCACTACAGAGCATACGGGAGGCTGAAGAGTTCATCAATCGAATGTTTCAGGAGGTGGTCACCCCACTGCCACAGAGGGTTCAGACGGAGAGTGAGTGGGTGACCACCCGGTATGGTAGGAAGAGGCAGTGCAGAAATCCCCTGAGAGTGTGACACTCACAAACCGGTTCTCTGCATTGAATACAGGTCAGGGTGATGACACCTCTGGGGAGAGTCAAAAGCAAATGGATGCACAGGGGGACACAGGGAAGAGTGTCAATCCAATTGTCATTGGGGACACAATGGGGAAAGGAGTAGACGGGCATTTCTGCAATCAAAGACGTGACTCTCGCACGGTATGTTGCCTCCCTGGTGCCAGGGTTGAAGACATCACGGAATGTGTGCAAAACATTATACAAGGAGAAGGGGAACATCGAAGTCGTGGTCCATGTTGGGATCTGTGACGTAGGGGAAAAAAAGGACTGAGAACCTACAACAACAACAAGATTCCATTTATAGAGCGCCTTTCACGTCAGGAGGACGTCCCAAGGCGCTGTACAGTTGGGTTAGGACCCGAGCATTGGGGGGGGAAATGGTCAGGGTGAGGGGAGGGAAGGGAGGGAGCGAGGAGGGGGTAGAGAGTCGAGAGGGGAGCTGAAGGCACGGTCAAAGAGAAAGGTCTTGAGACCGGCCTTGAAGGAGGAAAAGGAGGAAGCGACGAAGGTACTTGGGGATAGAGTTCCAGAGCCTCGGGGCTGAGAGGCTGAAGGCGGTTGGGGCGGGGGATGTGGAGCAGACCGGAGCCAGAGGAACGGAGGGTACGGGCAGGTAGGTAGGGGGATAGTAGGTCGGAGAGGTAGGAGGGAGCGAGGCCGTGAATGGCCTTGTAGGTGAGGATGAGGAGCTTGAAATCGATCATCTGGGGGATGGGGAGCCAGTGGAGGCGAGCGAGGGTGAGGGTCAGGGCGAGGGCGAGGGTGAGAGTGAGGGTGAAGGCGAGGGCGAGGGTGGGAGTGATGTGGTCGCGGTGTCTGGTGCGGGACAGTACACGAGCTGCAGAGTTCTGAATGACCTACAGTGTGGAGGGAGGGCCGGGAAGGCCGGCGAGGAGAGAGTTCCCATAGTCCAGCCTTGAGGTGATAAAGGCGTGGACCAGAGTTTCAGCCGCGTGAGGGGTGAGGTAGTGCCGTAGTCTGGTGATGTTCCGGAGGTGATGGAAGGCGGTGCCAGTTGTGGAGCGGATATGAGGGAGAAAGGACAGCTCAGGGTCGATCAGAACCCCGAGGTTCCTGACCGGCTTTGAGAGGTGGAGAGTGCAGCCTTGGATGCTGATGCTGTCAGCGCCTGAGGTGCGGAGGCGCTAACGTGAGCCAATCAGGAGGGCCTCAGTTTTGCGCACGTTGAGCTGAAGAAAGTTGTCTCTCGTCCAGGACTCAATGTCAGACAGACAGCTGTCAGGACATCGGGGGTCGTGGAGTTGAGGGTAGAGGAGGAAAGGTAGAGTTGGGTGTCATCCGCGTACATGTGGGAAGTTAACCCCATGTCTGCGGATGATGTCACCACAGGGGGAGCGTATAGAGGGTGAAGAGGAGGGGACCGAGGACAGAGCCCTGAGGGACACCACACAAGACAGTGCGGGGGGGTGGAGGAAAAAACATTCGTGGAAACAAAGTGAAGACGGTGGGAGAGGTACGACCTAAACCACTCAGGGACAGGGCCTTGAAGGTTTAGGTGGGAGGACAAGCGGTGGAGGAGGATAGCGTGGTCGACCGTATCGAATGCTGCCGACAGGGAATCCTACAGGGTAAGTGTAAGAAGCTAGGGAAAAAACTGAAGAGTATGACTTCAAAGGTGGTGATCTCTGGATTACTCCCAGTGCCTCGTGCAAGCGAGTATCAAAACAACAGGATCAAACACATGAACGCATGGCTGGAGAAATGGGGCAGAAAAGAGGGCTTCAGGTTCCTGGATCATTGGGACCAGTTCTGGGGCAGGTGGGACCTGTACAAGGTGGATGGGTTACCCTGAACAGGTCTGGGACCAATGTCCTCGCAGGGAGGCTAACTAGTACAGTGGGGAACTAGTACAAAGGTTTAAACTAATTTTGAGAGGGGAAGGGAATCAGGATGTAGCATTAGAGAGTACAAACAAGTTACACAGAGGACTGGGAGAGACAAATAGCAATGTAATCAGGAGTAATCCAGAAAAAGGAGGGATTAGACAGGGGAGAAATGCAGAACATACTAAGTCAGTATTGCAGTGCATGTGCGTAAATGCAGTGTGTGAGACAAATAATATTGGTGAGCTGCAGCTCAAGTTGCCAAATGGGATTATGATGGAGTGGCAATAACGCAGACCTGGCTCAAACAAGGGCAGGAATGGGAGCTGAGTATTCCTGGCTACAGTGTTTTCAGGAGGGAGAGGGAAGGAAAAAAAGGAGGTGGTGTGGCAAAGACACAGTTATGGAGCAGAAAAGGAGCTGTTACTCTGTTAGGTGTATATTACACACCATCAAGTAGTGGGAAGGAGATGGATGAGCAAATCTGCAGCAGATTTCAGAAAGAATCAAAAACAATAGATTAGTGATAATGGGAAACTTCAATTATCCTGACATAGACTGGCAAAATAACAGTGTAAAGGGCAAGGAGGGGGAAGGATTCCTGAAATGTGTGCAGGATAATTTTCTGGATCAGTATGTTTCCAGCCCAACGAAGAAGGAAGCAGCACTGGATCTAGTTCTGGGGAATGAAGTGGGGCAACTGGAATAGGTTTCAGTAGGAGAGCATCTGGACAACAGTGACCGCACCATCATTAGGTTTACAGTACTTATGGAACGGGACAAGGAACGATCAAAGGTGAAGATACTCAACTGGAAGAGGGTTAATTTCAGTGAGTTAAAAAGGGACCTCGCCAAGGTGGACTGGAAAGAAAGATTGGCAGGTAAAACAACTAACGAGCAATGGGAAGCCTTCAAGGAGGGGATAGTTCAAGGACAGAAGAAATACATTCCCACAAAGGAGAAAGGTAGGGCATCCAAACCTCCCTGGATGAAGAAGGAAATTGCAATTAAAATACAACAGAAAAAGGAGATTTATGGTAAATGTCAGGTCCAAAATACAGAAGATAATCAAATAGAATATAGAAAGTACAGAGGAGAACTGAAAAAGGAAATAGGAGGGGCAAAGAGATTGTCTGAGAAAAGATTAGTGGGTAACATAAAAGGGAACCGTAAGGTATGTTATAAGCATATCAAGAATAAAAGGTTAGTCAAAGGTGGGGGGGGTCCAATTAGGGACCAAAGAGGAAATCGTCTTTGGGGGCAGAGGAATAAGTACTTTGTATCTGTCTTCACAAGGGAAGAGGATGCAGCCAATGCCACAGTATCAGAGGAGAGGGTAGAGAAGTTGGATAGGACAAGAATAAACCGAGAGGAGGTATTAAAAAAGGTTGTCGGTGCTCAAGGTTGGGACGGGAGGCATCCTAGGTTACTGAGGGAAGTAAGGGGTATTGGGACCACTGCTGTGTTTGATCTATATAAATGACCTGGACTTGGGTATAGGGAGTACAATTTCCAACTTTTCAGATGATACTAAGCTGGAAAAGTAGTGAACAGTGAGGAGGATAATAACAGACTGTGAATGGACATAGACAGACTGGTAACACGGGCAGACACGGGGCAGATGAAGTTTAATGTGGAGAAATGCAAAGTGATGCATTTTGGAAGGAAGGATGAGGAGAGGCAATATACGCTGATGGTACAATCTTAAAGGGGGTGAAGGGACAGAGAGACCTGGGGGTCATATAGTAAATCTTTGAAGGTGGCCGGACAGGCAGATACAGCTGTTAAAAAAGCATATGGGATACAGGGCTTTATAAATAGGGGCAAAGAATACAAACGTCAGGAAGTTCTGATGAACCTTTATATAAAACACTGGTTAGGCCTCAGCTACAGACTGTGTTCAGTTCTGGGCACCACACCGAAGGAAGGATGTCAAGGCATTGGATAGAGTGCAAAGGAGATTGACCAGAATGTGGCACTTCAGTTATCGGGAGAGGTAGAGAAGCGAGGGGTATCCTCCTTGGAGCAGAGAAGGTTAAGAGGAGACTTCATAGAAGTTTTCAAAATAATGAGGTGATTCGATAGGGTGAACAGGAGAAACTATTCCCCCTGGCGGGTGGGTCGGTAACCCGAGGACACCCATTTAAAATAGTTGTTAAAAGAAACAGAGGGGAGGTGAGGAGAAATGTTTTCACACCACGAGTTGTTGGGATCTGGAATGCATTGCCTGAAAGGCTGATGGAGAGAGCGGGGAGTGGGGTTGATAGGGCTATGGGGAGAGAGTGGGGGAGTGGGGTTGATCAGGGCTATGGGGAGAGAGTGGGGGAGGGGGTTGATCAGGGCTATGGGGAGAGAGTGGGGGAGTGGGGTTGATATGGGCTATGGGGAGAGAGAGGGGGAGTGGGGTTGATCAGGGCTATGGGGAGAGAGTGGGGGAGTGGGGTTGATCAGGGCTATGGGGAGAGGGAGGGGGAGAGTGGGGTTGATCAGGGCTATGGGGAGAGAGGGGGGGAGTGGGGTTGATCAGGGCTATGGGGAGAGAGCGGGGGAGTGGGGTTGATCAGGGCTATGGGGAGAGAGTGGGGGAGTGGGGTTGATCAGCGCTATGGGGAGAGAGTGGGGAGTGTCGTTGATCAGGGCTATGGGGAGAGAGCGGGGGGAGTGGGGTTGATCAGGGCTATGGGGAGAGATCGGGGGAGTGGGGTTGATTAGGGCTATGGGGAGAGAGGGGGGGAGTGGGGTTGATCAGGGCTATGGGGCGAGAGGGGGGGAGTGGGGTTGATCAGGGCTATGGGGAGAGAGCGGGGGAGGGGGGTTGATCAGGGCTATGGGGCGAGAGGGGGGGAGTGGGGTTGATCAGGGCTATGGGGAGAGAGCGGGGGAGTGGGATTGATTTGGAAGCTCTTTTCAAATAGCCGGCACAGACACAATGGACTGAATGGCCTCTTTCTGTGCTGTATAATTCTATGACACATTAATGCAATAACTCAGAATCCTTTCAATTCCTGTGAATCTTTGCACTTGCTAGAAATCTTGCACTTTTGGCTAAAGAAAACCTCCTGCCATTCCTATTCGCTTATGTTGCCATAGTTTAAAGCTATTGTCCATTGTTCTTTAATTTTCAACACGGTAAGAAACGTATCTCCAAATTTTCTGAACCCTTTACGATTTTAAACATGTTTATCAAGCTTAATAAGAAGATTGAAGTGTATTGAGTTATTGTGCCACAAGTTGATATTAAAAATCAATTGGACAAGATAAATAACCAGTCAGAGGATCACTGAATTTGAAGATTAAAAAAACAAGAAGTGGCAAGGCAGATTCGGATGGGAAGATAGCTCACATTATTCATGAGGTTTAGGAAAAGTTGTTACTGTCTGGAAACATTAATGGCAAGAGATCAAGAGAAAGTGGCTGGATGACATGATGAATTAGGCAGAGCCTGATTGAACCCATGTAGACCCCGAAAGGTATGATATGTACTGGTTGCTAATTTTCAGAGCAGCAAGATAAACAAAGACCAGCACAAAGATTCTGAAGAACGGCACTCTGTCTGTTCAACAACAACAACAAATTACACTTGTAATTTCATGTCAGACAGACGTCCCAGGGCTCTGGACAATCAGGGGTTTTGGACCTGAGCTGGGATTTAAATGATCAGTACTTTATTTTAAAAATCTCCAGAAGAATAGTACAATTTAAAAAAAACATTGGAAAGGTTACAGCTAATAAACAAAAATAAACCCATTGGAGCAAAAAATATTGAAATGACACGATTCAAATCATTTGTACATGTAATAATATGGATAACTGCAGTTGCTAAAAGTAAACAAGCTGTAAAGAAATGGTTAAAAAAGGATAAATGCCATACCTTGAAACATGAAGCACGGTACAAGAGTTGGACCACATGCCCAATACTAGTTTTAGACGCCTGAGGGAACCGTGGTTCAAGCCTCTGAACAACAAAGAGAACCAGCACTTTCCTCGAGAGTGCTGACCCATCTTCCAATGCAAGCAATACCAGTTTTAGAGCTTCTTCCTGCATGGCTGGCAACAGATGGAAAGGAAAACAAAAGCATTTATGCTCAAATAGAAAACCAATTAATAAAAATTGTAAAACAGGCTGAACATTTTGAATTTCAGCAAGTTTAACACTTGCATATAATAGGAATCTCCAACTGACTAAACATAGGCACGTAGAGCATCTCCCCAAAGTATGTGTCAATACCAGGTAGAATAGTGCCCCCAGGAAACACTGGTTGGATCTCCATAGAAGAGCAAAGGGGAAATTAGGAGGAATTTATTTTACGCAGAGGGTGTTCTGGGAATTCGTCCCAGTGCCCTGGCCAACAATTTCCCAGATAAATGTGGTCATTCACTTCATGGCTGTGTGAAAGACATTGCTGTGCGGATAGCGGGGGCTTTACTATATATGATATCATAAAGGAACGTGTACATATAAAGGTTGTTGGGAGGTTTTTCCCAAAGTTTTAGGGAGGTTTAATGCAGGTGCCAATTACAGATCACAGCCATGAATAGCAGTGAGATGGCAAACATTCCTGTGTTCCTCAGATGCCAATTTATAAATGGCTTTTGAATTAAAGCCTGTACAGCTTACCCTCGTAAGGAGATACCCACAACAGAAAAACCACATCATTCCCCAAAAATTAGTAATCCAAGATATCCATCTGTGAATAACTATTTTGTCTTACCTGGCCCCAAAAACTGGCAACCTCGGGCCCTAACGGCTGCCCACAAATTGGCTGATAACTGCTGGGGGTTCTGATGCTGCAGAATAAGCTCAGTAACTGTCCTTTCGCCTAGTGATCTTGCTGCTCGCATTGCCCGAACACGACCTTCTTCCTCTACCAACTGACAGTTAACCAGGGTAACCAATTTCCGTTGCATTGGCCGACTCAGTGCACTTTGATTTAAACTTGCAACACCTAAACAAAAAGGAAAATGCCAACTGAACAAAATTGCTTGAGCTACAATGACCAGCAGCACAGCATGCACACCCTTAGGGTATATGGAATATCCTTTGCAACAGCAAAATACATTTCCCAGCTGATTACTACTGGAAATAGATAAGCACAAAGATTTAAGCATTCACAATATTAACCTTAAAACAAACTAGACATATTTTAATTAAATGACTATATCTTTGTTGTTTAATCTTTCAACAAAGAATCCAGTTAATTTTTATTGAAATTAGCATTAAAAAGAGATTATCCATACCACAGCCAAAGTTAGAACAAAAGTAAATCAGGATTATTTAACATCATTCTATGTCAAAAAACGTATTTCACTTTATTACTCAGGAATTATTATTACAAGTTTATTATTTTATATTAAATAATAGTCTTGAAAGCTAATCAACAATATTGATTATAGAAGCATTACTCTTAATGGAGTTAGAAAGATGCACTAAAGAAACATTTAACATACAGAATGTGTACACACCAGGAATGCCAAGAGAATAAATAGTATGGGGTCACTTCCAAGTAACCCAACATGCAGATCATCTCTTACAAAAGGTGGCACAAGGGACTTGCAAATAAAAATTAACATGAGGTATCATACAGTAATAATTATAATTATAAAATCAGTTGATGGATTGTTTAGAAAAGGAAATATTTAAATATTTAGTGAGGAAGGATCTCCTTGCTAACTTAATAAGTGTTTTTCTTTTCAGAATAATCTGATTTTAGTAAAGACAAATTCATTGATGTTTGCACTAGATGAGGCATCAAAACATATATTAAGGAACTATGGCACATAAATGATCGTCATCACCAACCAATTAGCATTCTAGTTTGCACCCCAGTAAAGCAGCACAGGATGATTAGCCAAAACTTAATCAAGTCACAGTTTACCACTTTCTTATGATGATAGTAATGGCATAAAATTAATCTTAAATATAATAAAGGAATTAAATGTGGCCGTATGTTGACCTAGAATGCCAGTGTTTATAAATGGGTTTTACATTTGTGTATGTAGGGGGAAGACTCTGTCAAGCATATTTCCCAGTAATCAAAAAAACACCTGAAAAAGATTTGACACCTTATATTTATAAATATAACCTGCACAACGTACCCTTTCCTCCACTAAGCGGTTTCAAGTAGAGAGCCAGCTCCTCCACACACTTCTTTGCAATTTCATAATGTTTATTTTCAGCCAAGTTACTCAGATTGACTGTCTGCTGGTCTGGGACCTAAACACAGAACGATAAACTTGTTAAACTGACAAATCTTAATAACGAGCTGGTACCTCCACCCCACTTTCAAATGAGAGAGTATTTGCTGCCGATTGGTTATTTTTAGAAATCCATATCAATGCTAAAAGACACCCTGCACAATACTTGTGGTCAACAGCTGGAATCATGTACATAGATTAAACGCAGAAGCAAAATTAACTAGAAAGTCAATGGATACTCAGAATACCGAGGCTGATATACAGTTAGTGAAATGACCCAAAAATAGTCTATTGAGCACAGATCAAATCACTGCAAAACAACTAGCAGACAGAGCACACATGCTAGTATGCCTGAAGATTGGTACCCTAGGATGATGATGGTGACATGGATGCCAGTTGGGGAAAACCAAGTAGAAGGCTAAAGATCAAGCTGCAAACGTAAGACTGGTTCTGAATGATTTTCTGTGCTTTTAAGTATCCTTCAAGTCTTCTTTACGGGGGGGGGGGGGGGGGGAAGAGAGAGAGACACTAGTATTCAGAGTCTGGTTGTGAGTCTTGTGCTTCATTTATACTTCATTGGAACATTGATTTTGGTATATCCTGTCAACTTGAAGAACACAATATTGCACAAATTGGGACCAATTTAAACAAATGCTTTACACTTTAAACATCTGAAATATGCCTGAAAGTTATTGTCAAAGCATTTTAACACCAAAGAGCCAGCTCCACTCTCAGCTCCAACTTCAAGAAGCAATCTGGCTTGGCACCAGTTAACTCGTCAGGTCCTGGCAAAGGATTTCAGTCCCATTTAAAACTAGGAAATATAATTTAGCTTCCCGCCCACAATTGTTTCACTGCGGGAAACAATATTGCAGCAGTGTATAAACCCTGGGTCAGATCAGGGTAAACAAGCTCCTTGTTTAACCAAGTCATGTTATCCCTGGTTACAGCAATAGCATCTGGGGTATGATGCTGCAAGTAAATGTGCACAACAATTAATCAGCAATTACTCAATGAGAAATACAAGAACACTCAGGCAAACATGCTAATTTCATATCCATGGTGTCATTTCTCAACAATACTGTAACAAACTTTACAAGGAAATTCTATTATTAAACAAATAATTTTCAGTGGTTAGAGTTATTTTATCTTTTTCTCCATGATCCATGTCCATTCAAGTCTCTGAAGCATCCTGGCAATATTCAATATTCAATATTCCTACACCTCTTAAAGGCACCGTTAATTAAAGCAAAGTCAAATAAACGATTGTACATTTGAATTTCATTTGAAATACTTTTGCAACCAAAGCCTCATGGCTCTAGCTATGAATACCAGCACCAGAGATACAATTATAAAGTTATAGAATATGTGCATTTTAGATATTTCAAACATCATTTACCTGTGCACCAACTAACTGAAGAAGTGCAAAATTTACAGGAAGAACATCGATGTCTGTGTTGATGGCGGTCTGATCAAAGGGGCATGCCTTGCGATGTAGTTTATTCAGACAGGTCTTGCAGACAGTATGCCCACAGCCCAAACTGATGGGTTTGTGCACGTTCTCATCAAACTCATTGTAGCAGATGGGACAAGAAAGGAATTCTGTCCACTGCGACGCTTGAACAGGCATTCTGGAAGCGGCTCTGGTTTCTGTGTCAGTGCTAATGGTTGACTAGCATAACGCTACTCTACTGTCAAGAGATTTAGACAGCTGTAAGGGGGGAAAAAGACATTCAATTAAAAAAGCATCAGAAAAGGTTTCAGTTCACAAGCGTACTGAGAAGGGGATGATCCTGAACGAAGGTAGAGGAATGAAGTAAAGCTTATCCAGTAATCAGTACACAATATTTGACCAACTCCAGTCCAACATTTTAAGTATTATGCTAATTTCTGCTTAAGAACATTATCGAATGTTTATAATTGTGCTTTCTTGCTATGGTCTTTGCAAATTTATGAGTCAACTATGTCTGGCTTTAACAGCAACGTGGATCAAATGTTGTTTGTAAAAAAAAAAGCCTTTTGATTCAGAGATAAAACTGGCATGTCTTGCAAGTGCAAAATAATTTAAGGCAGTGAAAGATATAGGCAAAGATTTAGCCAATCCAATCAGGATGTGAAAAAGAGAAAGACTTACTTTGGTTTGTGGTTATTCTCAACCTTAAATCCAAGGTGGGTTTTTNGAGTTAGAAACATCAAAGCCAAGCAGAATCTTTAAAAGATTGCGCCTTGACCTAAGAATTATCAAGGACACAAAATATCTTGGTGTTCTTGGATACTGCTCAGCTAAGATGCATTATATTCAGAGCAAACCAAATTTTAAGTTTGTATTGAAAGTGCCAGTTTGCTCTCATGGTCCCACGGTTAACAGTATACTCTCAGCCTGGCCGACTGGCTACTCTCTTTCTCATGTTAGAAATGCTTGTGAGAGCAGCTGTGTGAAATGAGGGTAAATAAGCTCAAGTCAAATTAGCATTCTTTATGTCTGCTTTGCATTAACAAAAGTATTTTTCCAAAGCCATTTTCAAAATCTGAAACCCATTTTCTTGGTATAAATTTAAGTTATGACAATGACAATTGGGAACTCCCATCTGGCAAATTTGTCATTTGATATTTGTAACACTTGATATTTGGTTCAGATTCTTTTCTCTGCTCCCTTGTTACATCTCCCAAGAGACACTCACTCCAAAACGATCTATTTTTTTTTAACAAGAAGTGTGAGTTCACCAGACTATGCTGAAAATGCTGATAAGCAACGCCAAGTGGAATGACAACTGTCAGTTTTCTTCTTCACAGAGCCACAGGATAATGGAACTCACTCCAAAAAGCCGTCAGTGGGAGATTAGATCAGGGCTTGAAATCCATGAGTCACCTGTTGTGACAAAGGCCCTGAACATTTCTTACACAACAACAGATTCATCTCAAAAACAAAAGACCAAGAGGTGATGCCAAACTGTCCTAAAAGGTCCTCCAATCCTCTGGCTGCATAAAGCAGTTTATACAAGTAAAACAGCATTGATTTCTGGTTGTAAACAAAGAAAAAATAAATCCTTGTATTTGATAGAGCCTTTTTCCAATTAATGCCATGGGATCTTCAAAATCCATCTGAACCACCAACTGATGACAACACAGTGCCTTTACTCTATGATATGATTATGATGTAAGGAGAGGGAACTTAACAATACACACCACGCAACCATACTTGGAAACATTCCCCATCAAGTTTGGAGCAGCCAACTGCTGGCTTTCTCACTGTGAACAAGAGTCTGACTGGCATGGAGAGAGCCTCCAGACTAGCATTTACAAATGTTTGTTTGTTCCCCAATCTTCCCTACCAATATGTTGTGAAGTAGGTCAAACCACAGTACTCAAGCCGGCATTTTATAATTTATTTTTCACACAACTGAAATTCCTAGTTCCAGGAAACAGACTAAACACCTCTGTATTATGAAAGCCTTACATGTCAATTACATGCTCAGAAAACAGCTACAAATGTATCTTGGAAATTTATCGTGCTCCCAGTAATGCAGTGCCGTTCTTCGAGAGGACCGTTGTATAACCATATTAATCCAGCTACCACATAATAAAGAAAACAGAACGGGCAAAGCATTTCTGGTAAAAAAAATCTTGCATAACAACTTTATTTGTATACACGAGGTAACAACAACAACTTGCACTTATACAGTGCCCAAACGCAGGCTAGCATCTCAGTTATACTGTATTCTACCTCTCTGCCTCCACCCTGGACTCCAGGACCCACTGCTGTGCTGACACAATGTCTGTCAGACATCAAGTCCTGGATCAGAGCGAACTTTCTACAGTTGAACGTCAACAGGACCGAGGCTCCTGATTGGCTCCGTCAGCGCCTCTTCACCTCAGGCGCTGACAGCATCACCATCCATGGCTGCTCACCACCTCGCTAAGCCAGTCCAGAACCTTGGGGTCTTGTTTGACACTCAACTGTCAAACTGCCTTCCCCCACCTTGGCCATATAGCCCAGCTCTGCCACTGTCTCACACCGCAGGCCGCCAAGTCCCCCTTACATAACATCCAGCCTCGACTACACCAAGTCCCTGCTATTCGGCATCCCCAGCTCCTACCTCCATAGGCTGCAGATCATCCAGAACTCTGCAGTCTGTGTCCTCTCCCGTATCAGGCTCCGTGACCCTATCATCCCCATCCTCGTCCGACTCAGCTGACTTCCCATCAGACAGTGGATACATCCTGTTCCTCACCTTCAAAGCCCTCCACGGTCTTGCTCCCCCTACCTCTGCGAGCTGTTAACCCCCTACCATCCTGCTCACTCCCTCCGCTCAGCGGGCTCCGGCCTGCTACATGTCCCCCGCCTCGCCAGCCCCATCATTGGCGGGCAGGTCTTCAGCCTTCTGCCCCCACCCTCTGGAACACCATCCCACAGTCCCTCCACCTCACTCCCTCCCTTGCCTCCTTCAAGACCTAGCTCAAGACCCTCGTCATCAACTGTGCCTTTAGGCACCCTCATTCCCCCCCCTGCCCTCCACGCTCCCCGAACCTGACCCCCAGCTCGGATCTGAAACAGTGACTGTCCAGCACCTTGGAATGTCCTCCCAATGTGAAAGGTGCTATACACATGTAATTTTGTTGTTGCTGTTCGGAAACAAGTAGAAAAAGTACCAGCTAACACTGATTATAAAGACGTTGCATAGATAAAAGTGACATGAACTCCAATAGTGGTTAGCTTTGACATTTAAGGGACATTTCGCCTGTAGCAGTTCGCAAAAGTCACTATAGACCACAGTTATAATGAAAACAATAGACATTTTCTGGAATATGAATTAATTTACAACCAAGCTGACAGAAAATTGGTTATCACAACACAGACAAGCAGGTGCTTTATTACTGTATTAGCACAATAATCCATCTGGAATTCATCAGCAATATTAAACAATCCTGGGATTTTCCCTTCAATTAACAACTAGATAATATTTTTCAGTATAGGACATGCAGTTACCCTGCATTTGACCACAAGGCTGCAAGTTACTGCGGTTACATTAGTTGATGTTTCAATATATAACAAATATCATTTAAACCTGGATCACGTCCTTACCAATCGCAAAGTGGCAGAATAGAATCATAGAATTATACAGCACAGAAGGAGGCCATTCAGCCATCGTGTCTGTGCCGCTCTTTGAAAAGAGCTTCCAAATCAACCCCACTCCCCCATAGCCCTGATCAACCCCACTCCCCCGCTCTCTCTCCATAGCCCTACAAACTTGTCCTCCCCAAATAATTATTAATTGAACACTAAAACAAAACAATGGATTTTAGATGTGCAAAAATGCATTTCAGGTTTCTATTGGTTGTTTTATAGGATTTTTAAATGCAATTGCTTCATCTTAGTATTATTTAACTGTAGGTGATTATCTGGAGAATACTTCCCTGGTGAATTTCTTTAGTGCTGGCTTCTTCTGCTAGGTATGCTTATACCAGAAGCTCTATTGTGTAGTTTTGAAGCCATGTCACAAACTCCAATGGGAATTAAATGTTATAATTACGGTATTTGGATACAGCAAATGTGGGTTGCAAATGAAGAGGCACAGCTGTTGGAAATCTGATTTCACGTGAGCTTTTGCCATTAGTCTCTTGCAGACTGGACAGATAAAGCACATGGTCCAAATGTTAGCATTAATCGAGTATGGCATTGGTAAACTGGGCCCTGATTTACTACAAAAACTAGACCTAACAATACAACTGCTATTCCAGTCGGTGTTGAATGGGCCAGTAGATAAGAGAAAATTTGCCCTCCGTTGAACTCTCATGAGTTTCAAGATTTCCAAATTGAGAACCAAGTACCAAAAAAGCTCTAAATCCACACAGTACTATCAAGAGAATTCAATCAGCTCAGCTGCTTCAGCATAAACACAACATAGTGCCCTATCCCAAAGGCTTGAGTAAGAAAGCACCAAGTTTACTGGGTTTCTTTGTGATCACTATTCCATCTTCTGTTAATTCTGGAGATCATGTCAGTGCTGCTTGAGACAAAGTTATTCATTACTTCAGCAATGTGTTTTACAAACAACACCGACTTAGAGCAGTGTGGTCCAACAGGCCACATCCAGCTGATTGTGTCCGGCCTGAGACCATTTCTACCATTCCAACTTCCACTCCCTCCCTCCCTGGCGAATATCCTCCCAGGGCGGTAGCAGGAGCCACTGGTTGGAAGCCGCAGTGCAGAGAGTGTTAACAATACTGGCCATTATACAGTCTGTCAGGAAGCAAGCATGTCTCTTACCAACCCCATCATTAGCAACCAACCACCGGCTCCTGCCACTGTAGATAGTGATCCGCACGGCTGATTGGGAGAGAGGGGGGAAAGAGGGATTGAGAGGGGGGAAAGAGAAGGGGGAGGGGGGAGAGAGAGAGGAAGGGGTAAGAGAGAAGGATTGAGATGCGGTTAGAGAGAGAAAGGGAGGGGGGGGAGAGAGGGTGAAGAGAGGGAGAGGGAGGAGTGAGAGGGGGTTTAGAGGGAGAGGGGGGAGAAGGAGAGTGTCCGCTTCCCCAAACCCCCCCCCACCTCAATCCCTCTCTTCCAATCAGCCATGTGGGTCACTATCTACAGTGGCAGGAGCCGGCGGTTGGTTGCTAATGACGCGGTTGTTAAGAGATGTGCTTGTCTTCCTGACAGACTGCAGTAATGGCCGGTATTGTTTACATTCTGCGTCCTCCCAACCACTGGCTCCTGCTGCTGCCATAGGAGGATGTTCACCAGGGAGGGAGGGAGGGAGGGAGGGAGGGAGGGAGGGAAGTTGGAATGTTGGAAAAGGTCTCGAGCTGGATGCGGCCCGTGGACCTTTCTCAAATAGGGAATCCGACCCACGGCAGCTAAAAGATTGGACCACCCTGACTTAAAGGATTGACATTTAATATTTGGGGAATTTAATTTTTTCAGCAAATTTATGAAAGGTGTAAGAAAAAAAGTGTCTTTTGTTGAGCTAAAATTTCCTGCTTCCTTGTGTTTTTGTGCAGTGTGTCTTGTGGCTTCTTGTGAATGTGAACTAGTTTCCTGCATGAAGCAGACATGAGTAACCATTTCTAAGTTTGAATTCAGACTCCCATCAATGGATCTTGTTTCAGCACAAGATGAAACCCAAAACAAATGTGCTGTCCTGAAAATATAACCACCCCTAAAACTTTGTAGCACTGTGTCATCTTGAAACTAGTGTTTTAAGAAACAAAAATCTTGTTTGTAAAATACATTTTGAGTGCAATTAGAAATCTTGGGCCAGTTAGATTTGTATTGAATAAACCCAGCACCTCACCCACACCCACCTTTACAGCGTCTTTACACTGGCTATGTCACTGCTAGGACTCTGCTGTGTCCTGCAAAACTTCCAATGTTTGTTGGAAAATCGCACCTTTCACTGATTCATCTTAACTGATAGCTTCCCAGTCCAGTATTTGTCAAGAAGGAACAAGCAATATCTACTAATTATTTTCCCTGTGAGATATTAATTTGAAAGGAGCCTAATAACGATTTTCTGATTTGCTGAGCATAGTGCACTTGCCAATTTAACTATCACAATCAGAATTATAAAAGATGTCAGGAAACAGTATAAGAATTCCAACCGAGCTACTTACTTGCTCACGTCATTAGCTGAGTTGTACTCTCTTGTCACTAGAATCCAAAAGCAGTGAGTCTCCACAGAGAAGAAAAAGAACACTAAACATACAACATAATCTCATCTAGATTGTGGAGGAAAAGAGGTACTTCACATTAAATATCCCAACGTACCTCTGCTATCTTTTACTAACTCAACTTAGGTAACACACAATGATATTAAAAATAGCAACTGCAAAATGAAAGTTTTACACATTAACTAAGGTAATTGAGGAAAAGATCTACGTGTAACAGCTGGCCAAACACTGGAAATGCCACTGGATGACTGGCTGACTGAGTTGCAAATACTGTTCAACAACTGAGGTTTGTTTAGTAGATCAAAGGTCGTTATTCATTAAGTTTCTGCACCAGGGCAAACAAATACTGAAAATCACAAACTAAAGTGCCTTCACACTTTAAGTGTTAACATCATTATTATTATTAATGTTATTATTATAATCTTTGCATTTGATATATTGTCTTATCACAGGACATCTTCACATCTCCACTGTAAAGTGAGGTCACAAAAATACCACAAATCACAGTAAAGACAGAATTGAAGATAAAACATTCAAAAAGGACATAGTGGATTCTTTATTCTCTCTTTACTAGAGGTTTTCAAGATAATATAACAGGTACTGCACTATTCCAGTTCCAAGCCCCACTCACTATTCATATGCAACCCTAGACAAATATTGGCAAGCTATTTTGTTTGAAGCGCTCTGAGCCACGACCCAGGTGAAGAGCTCGGTATAATTACTTGTTGTTGGTTGGTAGAGAGCTTTGCAAAAGTAGAGGTTTCAAGAAAACACCACATTCCTCAGCAAGAGTCACTGGCGTTCAGGTGTCCATCCATTTCAATGTCTACCTAGAAGCCATTTGTAGAAGTAAAGAAAAAACTATCAATGGCAATTTCTTAACTGTTTCTCTTTTTTAAAAAAAATCTGAATATACTGCACCAATATGAAATTGGAATATGGAAACTTATTTAGACTTTAGAAAATAGACTTGTAAGCAAAATAGAAGCCCACGGTATTAAAAGGACAGTGGCAGCGGATACAGAACTGGAGACAGAGAGCAGAGAGTGGTGGTGAACAGTTGTTTTTCTGACTGGAGGGAAGTGTGCAGTGGTGTCCCCCCGGGGTCGGTATTGCGACTACTGCTGTTTTTGATCTATATAAATGACCTGGACTTGGGTATAGGGAGTACAATTTCCAAGTTTGCAGATGATACTAAGCTGGAAAAGTAGTGAACAGTGAGGAGGATAGTAACAGACTGTAAATGGACATAGACAGACTATGTCTGTCTCTGAGAAACTTGATACACTTAGACAACTTAAAAAAAACTACCCTCAAAAAGAACACAAATGCACATTATCTATAAAGCCATGAATTGAAGATCTCAAATTTAATGAGACCTCCTTAATTAACAAACCGAATGTTCAGCTTTTTTAAAAAATGATTTCATAGTGTGGGTGAGAAAGAAGAATCTTAACTGTTAAACTCATTAATCTATAAATAAATCCCATATAGTATTGCATGTGACTATCTCCCATCTGGCACGTTCATCACCGCATTCAAAGAAGCTCATAAAAACATCAAGCTCTTGGGTTTGCAAGGTTAAGAGTTAGGTGTTAAAATTGTGGGTGACAATTAAAGATGTCTTGTGTTTCTGGTACTGGAGGTGAGTGATGTACATGATTTACCTTAGGTACTGAATGTAGTATTTCCCATAATACTGGAAGAGATGTTAAAAGCTACATTTTATTTGCCATTTGAGTTTGGGATTCCTTTAAGGGAAACTGGGTTAGCGGGGCTTTTAGCCTCCTTTATATTAGGGTTAGGGTTAAGGTCTGGGCTAGGAGTTTTACTTATAGAGTTGGGGGTACTTTTGTTTTTACTGTTGGGGTACTCTTAGTTAGAATCAGCAGGGAAAAAAACACACTACCACTCTCACAGACAATTACAACAGCGGGGCCTCTGAATGGAGGAAAGCCCATTTCCCGCCACCCCGCCCACAGTGACGTTGAGTAAACAGGCGGGGCCCAAAACTACATGTTCAGCGGGTTTGTAGTGGAGGTGCTGTTTATAGCGGATTTCATGGAAAAATTGCAGCCGCACTTTCCTATTGGCCCAGGCAATGAGGAGGCACCGTTGAAAAGATAGATTTTTAGGGGGGTTTCCAAACAGCGGTATTGTTAATGCAAATATTACAGATTCAAACTTTTACTGGATTTAATTTCTAAAAATCAAATTGATACTATAAGTTCTACAACATTACTAATCAACATCCTACAGAACTGAATAATGTAATTGTCGCCAAGGATTACAGCATCAAGAGTAGTTTATAACACATGCATATAATAGTCAGGAGTCTTCTCTGAAGCAAAGGAATTTCAAACATCAAATTCTGTATCAACAAACCATGAATACGAATTCAGAAGAAATTTTATTGCAAGATGTCATATCAGTTGTGGCTTTAAAGCAATTTTTTTTGTATAAGTATGAATTTATACACTGTGGCAAGAATAGGATGATAAACCACTTTCTTAGCTAATAGATTTGCTTGCTCCCCCACCCGCTGCCTCCTCTCGGATGGCTCCAGCCTTCTGTTCGGTGGCCGTGCCTTCAGCCGCTACGCCCCAAGACTCTGAAACTTTCACCCTCAATCCCTCCGCCTTGCCTCCCTCCCCACTTTCAATTCCCATCAAAAGATCTTCCTTTTTGATTATGCTTACGGTCACCACCCCTCTCCCCCTGGCCCGGGGTCAGACTCTACCACTGTCACGCTCTCCGGGACGCTGTATAAATGCAAGTTGTTGTAGGTGCTCTGTGCACTTTGAACACAAAGCATACGATATTGATTGGTTAGAATCATAGAATTATACAGCACAGAAGGAGGCCCATCGTGTCTGTGCGGCTCTTTGAAAAGAGCTTCCCCACTCCTCCACTCTAACCCCATAGCCCTGATCAACCGCACTCCCCCACTCTCTCCCCATAGCCCTGATCAACCGCACTCCCCCACTCTCTCCCCATAGCCCTGATCAACCCCACTCCTCCACTCTAACCCCATAGCCCTGATCAACCGCACTCCCCCACTCTCTCCCCATAGCCCTGATCAACCGCACTCCCCCACTCTCTCCCCATAGCCCTGATCAACCGCACTCCCCCACTCTCTCCCCATAGCCCTGCAAACTTGTCCTCCCCAATTAATTATCTACTTCTCTCTTAAAAGTTGTTATCAAATCGGCTTCCAACACCCTTTTAGGCAATGCATTCCAGATCCCAACAACTCACTGTGTTTATATATAAAAAAATTCTCCTCCCCTCTGTTTCTTTTAACAACTATTTTAAATCGGTGCCCTCAGGTTACCGACCCACCCGCCAGTGGGAATAGTTTCTCCTGTTCACCCTATCGAATCCCCTCACAATTTTGAAAACTTCTATTAAATCTCCTCTTAACCTTCTCTGCTCCAAGGAGGATACCCCTCGCTTCTCTACCTCTCCCGATAACTGAAGGCCCTCATTCCTGGTACCATTCTGGTCAATCTCCTTTACACCCTCTCCAATGCCTTGATATCCTTCCTAAAGTGTAGTGCCCAGAACTGAACACAGTCTGTAGCTGAGGCCTAACCAGTGTTTTATATAAAGGTTCATCAGAACTTCCTGACTTTTGTATTCTTTGCCCCTATTTATAAAGCCTTGTATCCCATATGCTTTTTTAACAGCTGGATCTGCCTGTCCGGCCATCTTCAAAGATTTACTATATGACCCCCAGGTCTCTCTGTCCCTTCACCCCCTTTAAGATTGTACCATCAGCGTATATTGCCTCTCCTCATCCTTCCTTCCAAAATGCATCACTTTGCATTTCTCCACATTAAACTTCATCTGCCCCGTGTCTGCCCGTGTTACCAGTCTGTCTATGTCCATTCACAGTCTGTTACTATCCTCCTCACTGTTCACTACTTTTCCAGCTTAGTATCATCTGAAAAGTTGGAAATTGTACTCCCTATACCCAAGTCCAGGTCATTTATATAGATCAAACACAGCAGTGGTCCCAATACCCCTTACTTCCCTCAGTAACCTAGGATGCCTCCCGTCCCAACCTTGAGCACCGACAACCTTTTTTAATACCTCCTCTCGGTTTATTCTTGTCCTATCCAACTTCTCTACCCTCTCCTCTGATACTGTGGCATTGGCTGCATCCTCTTCCCTTGTGAAGACAGATACAAAGTACTTATTCCTCTGCCCCCAAAGACGATTTCCTCTTTGGTCCCTAATTGGACCCCCCCCACCTTTGACTAACCTTTTATTCTTGATATGCTTATAACATACCTTACGGTTCCCTTTTATGTTACCCACTAATCTTTTCTCAGACAATCTCTTTGCCCTCCTATTTCCTTTTTCAGTTCTCCTCTGTACTTTCTATATTCTATTTGATTATCTTCTGTATTTTGGACCTGACATTTACCATAAATCTCCTTTTTCTGTTGTATTTTAATTGCAATTTCCTTCTTCATCCAGGGAGGTTTGGATGCCCTACCTTTCTCCTTTGTGGGAATGTATTTCTTCTGTCCTTGAACTATCCCCTCCTTGAAGGCTTCCCATTGCTCGTTAGTTGTTTTACCTGCCAATCTTTCTTTCCAGTCCACCTTGGCGAGGTCCCTTTTTAACTCACTGAAATTAACCCTCTTCCAGTTGAGTATCTTCACCTTTGATCGTTCCTTGTCCCGTTCCATAAGTACTGTAAACCTAATGATGGTGCGGTCACTGTTGTCCAGATGCTCTCCTACTGAAACCTATTCCAGTTGCCCCACTTCATTCCCCAGAACTAGATCCAGTGCTGCTTCCTTCCTCGTTGGGCTGGAAACATCCAGGACCCACTGCTGTGCTGACACAATGTCTGTCAGACATCAAGTCCTGGATGAGAGCTAACTTTCTACAGTTGAACATCAACAAGACCGAGGCTCTCCTGATTGGCTCCGTCAGCGCCTCTTCATCTCAGGCACTGACAGCATCACCATCCATGGTTGTACACTCCACGTTGCTAAGCCAGTCCAAAACCTGGAGTCTCGTTTGACCCTCAACTATCCTTCTACCCACATCTGGGCCATGACCCACTCTGTCTTCCTCCACCTCCATAACGTTGCCCGGCTCCAACACTGTCTCACTCCGCAAGCTGCTGAGGCCCTCATCCATCACATCTAGGCTCAACTATGACAACTATGAGGGCAGCCCATGTCCTCTCCCGCACCAAGCTCCGTGACCCCATCACCCCAACCCTCGCCCGGCTCCATTGGCTCCCATTCCTCAGAGGATAGAATTCAAAATCCTCATCCTCACTTTCAAGGCCCTTCAAGGCCTTGCCCCTCCTACCTCTCTGACCTGCTGACCCCCTATCAACCTGTCTGCTCCCTCCGCTCAGCAGGTTCCTGCCTGCTCCAGGTTTCCCACCTGACCTGGCCTGCCATCAGTGGCCGGGCTTTCGACCTCTTCCCCCACTCTTTGTAACTCCATCCCACAATCCTTTCGCCTTGCTCCCTCTCTTGCCTTTCCACACCTTTTCAATGGTGCCTTCAGCCGCCCTCCTACCTCTCTGCCCTCCCTCATCCCAACCCTGCCACACCATGATCAGATCCTAATACCTGCCCTAATGCCTGTCTGCCTCTTGTGATACTTCAATTCAATCCTGATTTGGAAGCTGGTCTTGCTTTGTAATCTGCAATCTATGTCCCAAAACTGTTCAGTGCCTTGGAACATCCTCCCGATGTGAAAGGCGCTTTACAAATGTAACTTTGTTGTTGAAGGCTCATCTCAAGACCCTCCTCTTTGACCGTGCCTTCAGCCATCCTCCCTTACCCTCCA